TATAATCTTACTATACTTTTTAAACCTGCACTGTTCCCGGTTATCGCGTTATATTAAGTACGAAAAATCCACTGATAAAAATACCTCATAACCCCTCCCCCCCACTTAATTGTTGCTCTTAGAACGTTGAAAACTTCCGTAGTATCCTATCCGTCGGATATCTATATCGATAAATCGAGTGTTAATTTATCATTAAATTTTTTGTAAAATTAAAATTTATTTCAAGATCTAATGATTAAACTATTACTCGTACAGACGTCATATTAAAGTTGAACTGTACTTTTAAACTAATATGAGAAACGCAATCTCGCGGCCGCCAAAGCCCCTCACGTGTCACCGGAAAAAGACCAACGTCGTTCGTGGAATCAGACGGGCGGGCGCGGAGATCGTGCTAAAATATCGTCGAATAGTATAAATCCGGACACGGCGGTGTGTATATTATTTGTCGGTTTGTGAAAATGTCCAAATATTTATGGCGCAGATAAAATATTATATTATTTGCCGGTGACGTTAAAACCGGGGACGACAAATACGAAATACTATTAACCGAATATATATATATATACGTAACAATAATAATATTTGTATTTTAATACCGTTTTATTTGTTTTGTCCCCGCGTAACAGCTGATGTCGGTTGAGTATCGCTTTACTCGCCCCGCCACTCAAACCGTGAAATTCCGCCGGACACGAGTGCAATACTATACTTAAACTTTTCAAATCGGCCGATGTTTGCACGGCGTTTATGCGAGAGCCGGATCATTTCACATCGCAATTTAATACACGAGTATAACAATAATTCATATAATATCGTATATTTTGTCGCCGTGTTTTATGTGCAAACACCGACATTTTATTGCGCACAGTTATGCGCCGTTATAACGAAAATATCGTTAAGTGCAGTGTATATGAAAACGTACAATAATATTATTACGGTGACTGTCGAATATTATACTGTTTCGACATGTTACAGTTTTCGAAAACGATTTACAATACAACATTTACAGTTAGGCTGCACTCCCGAGCTGGACCGAATAGAGAACCGACGACGGCGTGCTCATTGAAATACGATATTGTGATTTACGAATACGTATAGAATTAGTAGGATCAATCAAAGTAAGAATACGGCGATTGGTTGGACGTACCGCGAGCAAAATGTTGATGAGCCGGTCGCTCGCTAGGCCGCCGCCACGGATGAAGTCTAGACACGCCTATGACGAATATCATCCCCTTTGTAAACATAAACATAAGTAGTTTTATGTTATTTTACAAATGTAGTACCGACGTGTGTATTAAACGTTCACTGTGATGAGTATAACTTTTTATAAATATTAATTTTCCCGTGGCTTTTTAATGAAAATTATAATATTGGCGGTTATTAATTATTACAATACATATTTTAAATATAATTATTTAACTAAGTAAATTAACTTTTCTTGTTTTAGCCTCAGCGATCTGATAAATATCTTGGTCCATATCTAGGTCATAATAAGCTAATAAGCTTCTTCGTTTTCGGTATTTAGCAAAGCAATATTTGAAAAACGATTTCGTCCCATTGGATTTCTTAAATAGTTTTTAATTAATTTAAGCATCGAAAATGAACGTTCGAATGATGCGGTAGTGAGTGGGAATGTGAGATATGTAATACAAACACTTCACTGTACGTGGTCATCATTTTCAATAACAAACATTGCTAATTATTTAATGTGTTTAGATTTTTTTTTGTTGAAATTTATTAAAATTTTTTTACATGAAAGTTACACGGTAAAATCTGAGCCTATATTAACGTTTAACTCATAACTTCATATGAAACTCTTAAAATATCTCCTTCCGTACAATTAATTATACCGATGAAAGATTTAATAATCAAAATATTCAATTACCATTTTTTAACCATTGCCTAATTAAAAAACGACCGTATCAATGAATATTGATTTTTAAATTATCTTGTGTAATATATAATCGACGGCCGCCTTCTACTTCATTAAAATGTCTTATTCCTAACTATGATACTAGTCCGTGAAGTTTCTATGAAATTCTCTATTTTTTGCAGATGATTTTAGGTGTTTTCAAAGAAGTATCATAAAGACGTATTTCTAAATTGTTTAACTATAGATGTACATGCTCGACGAGAGAAAAGCAACCGGGGCTATAGCTTTGGTTCTAAAAAAGGTCCGATATTTTACCTTATTTTTAAATTTATATACAAATTAACTGTAGTTTAGTTTCAAATAATTTTAATTAAAATTAATATTTGATAATAGAAGGAACTAGTTTTCCTTTGTGGCCCGTGATTTCTCTCCGTGGTCTTATATATGTAGCTTGTTTAAAATTTCCACACGCATTATCTACTTTTACATTATGCATTTGTGATGTTTTTTTGGATTTTTAATAATAACATTTGTCAAGAACATGAAAAATGAACACTGGCTTCGTAAAATTCCTTCGTCTATTGGGCTGTTTATCTCCGTATGTTAACGGATATTAATACATCATCTTATAACCAATAATGGGATAGTTGTAGCAGTAGACTACACCAATACCTATTAGCCTATTACTTTGGCTTGTGGGCTGCACGTGTCAATGGTGATACACCGCAATATTATTAATTATTGATTACAGTTATTCAATCAGTACCTATAACTATTGGCCTGTTTTAAAATTTTAAATGAACGCATATTTGATTTGATTCTATTGCGTTAAAAATACCCTCCCGGTTAGAAACTATAATGGGACACCCTTTGAGCCTTGGGGCGCCGAAATCTGTCATCGCCATCCATCGCGGTTATTGCGTCACCGCTGTTTGTCGTTTCTAATAATCGACAGTCATGTGTTTCAATACAATTTTAACACGAGGTATTTTCCGTAGGACATAAACAAATGGATTAAAATGGGGATTTTTTTTAGAGATTTTCAAAGTTTTTTTTATTACATGTAACTATAAAATTATAAAAAACAAAATAATATTCAATTTAAAAACAAAAAGAAATACAGAAAACCGTGTGTATAAGGATGGAACTCGACTATAAGGAGACGGAGCTCGTCTGCTGATGACGGGTGTTTTTTTTTCTATTGATTATCATACACGATATTACAGAACAAATATCCGAAGTTTATTTCTCTCGGCAGATTTTGTGCTGTCTGAACATCACGGACCGGCCGAGTGTGTGTCATACTATTAGTACTATGTATTTTATCTGGCCATGTGTAAATTTCGGGTAAAACATACACATTTCGTACCAAAGAGCAATCGATTGGAAACGGAAACTGAACCGCACACTCGGGAAGTACCTAGGTATATATCAATGTGTATAAATATATACGTTTTATCGAAAATTTCAGGAAATCAAAATTTGAATTGCATTTACAAAATATTATGTAAACTTATATTAAGTTATAAAAAGTTTGGCAAATTGAGTTTAGAGGAATAAAGTCACAAATAGAAATTCGAAAATGTTGTTTAAATTTTCCGGTAGGGAAATGTGTATTTTCAAGTTATTTTTCTAAAAAAAAACACCGAACCCGTGATGGCCATTTTATTTCTAACAAGAGACAAGTCAAACTGTGAATTTGTAGTCAATTTCTTTCGGTGGAAATCAAACATTCACTTTGGAACGGTACAACGGTCGTTCGTGAAGGTTTTGAAGATTTTCCTTATCAATTAAATACAACGGCAAATCATTATTCGCCTCCTTAATCCCGGCCTGGTAATGAAAATCCCGTCTATAATTAGATCTATTCCAGTGACCCACTTTTAATATAATACAAATGCCGATACTGGGGATAGATAACCCGCTTTTGTAGCTAGGAAGGTTGAATACGTAAAGTTATTTTATTTATATCCGTATACAACGATAAACCACTGCTAAAGTAAAACGATTTCGAGCGGAGTCCGATTATAAATATTTTGAAACGGCCGTGATTTTTGGAATTCGATCGTAAAACGCTTGCGCAAAAACAAAAACAAAAAACGACTACATTCGGCTCAACTTTTTCTTATTCTGTACGAACGGAAAAACTCAGTGATTTTTTCGTAAGATTCGTGTGTTGATATTAAACGAGATACCTCTGGCAACAGTGGGAAAAATACGACTGATAACACGGTGCTCTGCAGAATCGGGTTTTTCCAGCTATTGTTCGCCGTCAGTGTTTTTCGCAAAACGATTGTCGTTTCCGTTACACGGGGGTCCGGGGCGAAAAATAATTTTCGGCCGGTCGGAAAAAAACGACAGTTACCGGTGGGGTTACCTTATTGGTATACGACACGCGGACACGTAGCAACAGAGGGTCTTCCGTGGTTCCGGCGAGGCCGCCGCCGCGGCGCGGGATCGTTCGGCGGTCGGTGGCGCAAGAACCCGGCCCCGGGAGGGGAGGTACACGCGTATGAGACGACGGCCGGAGGAGACGGTGACGATAGGCGGGGTCGGCGGTTGTCGGGGGTGAGATTACGACCGACGACGGTCGTACGCGCAGTCGGCTCGACCCGCGGCGGCGGACCCTCGGTGTGTCTCTGTCCCTCCGTCCGCGGCACCTTCACCGCCGTCCCCGCCACTACTCATCCACCCCGGCGCCCCGTCCACACCCGACCCGACCGCACACCGTCGGCCGTCACGTCGGCCCGGCGGTACGCCCGCACCGCGGACGGTGCGGAGGCGTCGGCGGAGGAACGCCGGGACCCTCCGCCCCGACGGCACGCTCGCGGCACCTGTTGACAACCCACAGCGACACGCAAGGCCGCCGCCACCGCCGCCTGCGCTGCTGCCGCCGCCGCGCGGCCCGCGCCGTGGATACACCACTCCTGAGTCGCGGTCCCTTGCGGTTGGTGGTCCGTATGCCCGCACACAAGCGCCGCGTACACACAAGTAGCCCGCGCGCGCGCACACACACGCTCGCCGACACACACACACGCGCGCGCGCACACACACACGCGCGCGCACACAATCACACGCAGGCCCGTGGCACGTCGTCCCGCACACGCGTTCCCGTACACTATCGTCGTCGCCGCCGTACGCTGTGCAAGTCGTCCGCCGCCACCGTCCGCACAGAGCCGAGGTAAACTGCACGGAAACAACAGCCGGAGAGAAGAGAGCTCAACGACTCGTCGCGACCGTCGCAAAACTCCGCTAAGCAAACGCGCACGGAAAACGGTACGCGACTATAATTGTTCGTATTATTATTACTGCCTACAACCAGGTAGTTTATTTTCGTTTACATTTAATCATATCACTATTATTGTTGTTGTTATTATTATTATTATTATTACTATTATTATCGTTAGTATTATTATTATTATTTATATTAGTATCATTATCACTTACGGGTATCTGCGAACCGTATTATCAATTCGTTTCGCGCAATATAAACACAAATAAACATTGCACTTCGCTCTCTGGTCGAGTTTGGGGCAAACGCACCAATAATTCATTTTATAATATGGAACAAATGAATGATTTTTTTTTAAATTTTCGTATTTATCGTAAAAAAAAAAAAAAAAAAAAACGAACGAAACTCAATTGTTCCTAAATATAACCATTGTAGTAACTTATTAATAAATGAGAATTTTAAAATAGAACTTTATTTTTTATACTTGTTTAAATTTCAAATTGTGATGAAAATCGTAAAAATCACGGCATTTCGCTTTACCTATTATTTTCATGTGGATTAATATAAAAATTTGAAAATGAAAAAAAAAATCGAAAATTTATTGCAATGTTCTAGGTATCTTTACGTAACAGATTAATACAATTTTCAATTCATGTTTATTAAACCATGTTTAACTATATTTCGCTCAGGATTGTTTTACGATGGCATAGATGATTTTCTAACGTCTCATACGAACATGAACTAAACTACGTTTTCTATAATATATCTATCTTTTGTTAGTTTTTTCGTTTTTCTGGTGAAATGTTTCGCTTGCTTCAACAATAAGTTCGTATTGACATTGGACTTATACTAAAATTTCGTGGATATTTTCGCCGTGCTCTATGTAAACTATGATTAAACCGTGAATAATGCGTACATATTACAATTTAATTTTTCGTACACTTTCAACTGTGTAAATGTGTCGAGTTTTTATTGGGTGACGGAAGGGTTGTTTAAATTAACCATGGGAAACTTAAAATGACTAACGAGCGAAACCTTATAAAACGTTTAAACTTTTCACACTTTAAACGCTTAATAAAATATGTTTAACGTTTACTGCACTCGTTATTATATAGAGGTACTCGTGTTTATTGTACTTTTTCAATTTTTCTCGAATGCGGCCAACTGGGAATATACGGACCAATTTATTGGTGGTGCGACATGTATCCCCTGAGCATGAGTGTACTCGTTTTCGAATTCAAATCGTCCCAGTGTGTCTCTCGAGTCGTTTCGATAAAACTTTTAAAAGCTAACCGTCTCTAAAAAAAAAAAAAAAAGTATCGTAAACATTTTTATAATAATGATCTCTTATTATATACACAATGTATAATAAACGCTATACATTTAATTCGTTGTAAAATTAGTGAAAAACTGCTGCGCCGGGTGTATTTATAATTTTCTTTGTATTAAACCATAATATAGTAATTATCGCTATGTATAAATAGATTTCGAATATATTTGATTTTGGGTTTTTTTTCTTTGAAAGTTGAAATCCTTTAAATGAGCTTGTTTACAATAGTTTTAAAAATTCACATTGTTTTTATCATTATTCCACAAAATACAGAATAATAATAAGTCATCTATATCATGTCTATGGGATTTTCGAGTTGTAGATAATCCGAATTTCCGAAATACCAATTCTATTAGAGAAAATTGTTTTGAAAATGTTCGTATGCAAAACACATTAAAATATCCAATGTACCAGATATTAATAACATTAATATTAAAAAAGTTTTTTCATACAAAATATTAAATACATAAAATCGACGGTCCCGGGCTAGAAGGATTTAAGTAAATTGCGTTTAGTTATCAATATAAGCGAATTAAATTTTTGAAAAATGATCAATGGCAAAATAACATAACTGCATGTTATCATTGATATGACTTGATATGTTTTTTTTCGCCAGAGAAAAGTTCATCATATTTATTTAATGCTTTTTTAAAATTTTAATGGGTGTAACATGTTTCGGAATATTAATGTCATTTGGACCAAAAAAAAAAAAAAAAGGCAAATATGTTGCATAAAATAAAATTATAAAAACAAAATTTTAAAAACCGAATTGAGCTCTTCTTCCCTGGTATCACAGTTATTATAGCTTAACCAATTAATAACACAATCGTGTTAAAATCTAGAACAGTACCGTATCTGGTACACTACGAACTCTTGATGACTCGACAAAATTTTTTTCTTTTATTTTGATAATAAATCGTTGATAGTTTTTCTGTATCTGTAAAATTGTCGAATCTTTATAATTATATTTTACTTTTTTCCATAGGTATACAGTTGATAAACAAACGTAGACACTTATTATCTCGGAAAGTATTAACTTTTCGAAAATTTGTTTTTGGAACATTTATGAAATAATAAGTAGCTCTAAAATATTACAATTTTGGTAATTTTTTGTCACCTTTATTTTGAGAAGTGAAATCACCATACACATTTAATTTTTATACGGCAACCTGTAGTAAAAACTCCATAAACAGATCAAACATTTTTGGTGTTTACATTATTGATTTCCGAATTTTATGGAATTTTTGTATAGACTGCCATTTAAAAAAAACGAAAACAGACACCCGTTGAACCTTCTAAAATAAGGGTGACAAAAACCTAAGTAATGTAAGAATTAAGAGCCGTACTTACTTCTTAAATTCCAAAAAAACAATTAATATTTTCCGAGATAATGAGTGTTCAACACGGCGGACACTCGTTCGTCCCGTATAGATTACAAGTGTGTATCTACGTGCATTTTGCATTATAATGTAGTAAACAACAATACGGGTTATTTATTATTCTATTGTATGCGATTTAAACTTAAGGGACACATAAAAAAAAAAAAAATTCTTCCGGCTTGTAAACGGTCTTTGTCAATGGCTTTTTTTTTTTTTCCATTTCCTATTCCTATTTGTTAGGTTGAACACGGGTATTTGTAGCTGTGTACTGCACAGCACAGTGTTTACTCGGTGCCGGAATCCATAGTGCGAAATAAAATTAATCTGTATGAATGAGTTCGAGTATTATACATACTGTATGTAAAAACAACTCGAGTATTACTATTGAAAAAAAAAAAAATAAACATTTTATCCGAATATAACCGTCGCTATACATAACTGAATTGAAATACATATTTCTTCAGTTGCGCGTCATGACTGGCATAAATTATTCTTCGATAATTCGATACATACGTGCGTCGTATTATTCGATTTTGCGATATCGATAATGTAATTTATTCGTCACGGATCGCGTTTTTTTTTTCTTCTTTTATTTCAAGCTTCGAAAAAAAAAAAAGCTGATACTGCTAATGGGTCTGCGCTACTGTTGTAGGAGGGATAGTGAAAGGTCGGATATATAGGGTAATTTAATTTTTATCTGAACGCGACGAAAGTCTAATGCTAACGAAAAACGATTATAAACAGCGAACAGAATATTTTTGGTCGTTTGTTTTTCTTTTCGTTAAAGTAACGGTGAAATCAACAAAACTGGAATAAAAAATTGCCAGTTTTTGCCATTTATTAAGAAAACTATAAGGGAAATCAAAAAAGTATTTTTCCGCAATATATCAACTAGAACGAAAATTCTACAAGAAAGTGCCTGTAAATTCTTTAACTGAAGCCAAAATGCTAGAAAAGTTGTTAACTGACACAACAAAGTAAATAGATAAGTAAATAAGAAAATAAGTAAAAAGAAAAGATTAAGTAAATAGATCATTGCAAAGCCAATACAATTTTCGTTTCACTTTAAATCTAAAGTTATGTATGGACGGGGATAATACACACAAACGAAAAACGTACAAAAATAAATAAAAAAACACTTAACATCGTCATTAGGTTTAAAGCCAATACGTTCCTCACTACACTCATACTTTAATAAAATAAAAATTGTCATTTGCAAAAAAATATAATAATATTATTTAAATTATTTATTTGCATTGCCGTGACAAGTTATTGTGTACGGTAGCAAGTGCATGGTGAACTGCACGAATCGAACTTATATTTTCGTATCATTCGAAAATCCCGTACACAATATAACAATGCATTGCAGTACTGCGTTTCGAGTTCACCATACCAATGTTCTAATATACGACCGAAGAAAATTATTAAAAATGTATACAACGAGCAAATTGAACGTCTCTAAAGCGTGACGACGACAACGAGCATGCGATTTTGTATATTACAATATAGCGAAACGACTCGGCAAAATTGTGTGCGCTGCAACGAGATAATTTATGGCGACCACGGTGCATTTTATTTATCGATTCAAATATGCACGATTAAAAAAAAAAAAAAAAATGAAAACAACATTTAAATAATGAAATAAATTCCTCTGTCCGTTTTGTCGAGAAAATCGTGGTATCTTGAACACGGTTTCATTTCAATTGTACAAAGATAATCTGTTAAACATCTTTTTGGGTTTACCTACCGTTTTATTGGTTTATCGGTTTAAAGGTTTGTCGTTTGAAACTTACAGTTTTTTTTTTTTTTTTTTTTAAGTTTCTTGTAATTTATTCGTGATTCGGAAACATAATAATAAAAAAAAAACTCGCTGATTTTATACAAATACGATTTCATTGGAAATCTTGTCTGTAAAAATATATCTGTTCAATAGTTATTCGTCGTGAAAATACCGAAAAAGTAAATTTCAAATAAACTCGATTTCGGTTTATTTTTTTCATTAAATATTCAGAGAATTTTGTTCACAATAATATTTTATAAATATGACGTATTGTATAAACATTTTATTATTGCAGATAAGTCGATAAATAATATTTATTTAGATATAAAGTTAAAAGATAATTTCTCTAATTTCGTCTATAGGCCAGATAAAAATAATATAACTTGTTTTTAAATAAATATTTTTGATAACATTATAGTTTCAGGAAGATAATAATTCAAACGGTAGACATAATTCTGTAAATGCAAAGGATATGTTACAGCGTCATAGAATGTAGTTAGGTTATAATATCCTTAAATTATTTAAGTATTTATTGAAAATATCTATACGAAGATAAAGACAAGATAATATGTTGGTTTTATCTAGGTATGGCATACAGTATAGAAACGTTATCTGGATTATCTTTTAGATTACTTTTTATAATCTACGGATCAAGGGCGTCTCTGTTTTTTTCTAGGGAGTGGGGGTGGAAGTGACTTTTATTTATTTTTTAGATTTGGACCGTAGCGAACTAATTGGTTCAAAAAACAACATTTTTTCCTAGAAATTAATTTTACTCCGATTTGTCAAGGATTGTACTTTTTCTGATATTAAATTTTATCTGTGTTGTTTAGCGAGGTCTTTTTTTACGTTTTCCAAATGGTTATCATAATAATGGGGAAAAACCGGGACGACGTAGGAAAACACGAGACAATTTACGTACATGTAACTATAAAAGAAACTTCGCTCTGGAACGTTTTTTGTTAGCACTTGGTTATCGTCGCATACACATATAAATTGAATTCACATCTATAGTATTCTTTTTTCTCTTCATCGTGCGAAGTATGTCCACCTTCTTTCATTTTTCGAAAAACTCCAATAGTAGGTACAGGAAAAAATGAATTTATTAAATATTAATTTGAAAGTGAAAATAGTGCTTGCTCCTTGCTGCATAAGTTCAATGTAAAAATATAGTTTCTAATATCATGTACCAAGTAATAACAATTCTATAAACGAAATTCTTTAAAGTACTTCTATTCTGCAAACCGATCTATTATGTTTGATGTATCTAATTCTACATTACGATACACACGCAACAGTGCCAAACCAGTCAGTTTTTGTCGTCTTAATCGACTTCATGACTAAGTTTTTAATCCGATAAAGGTCAAAGCATTGCGTAAAACATTACTATGTAAAACAAGTGAACCGGAAAACGTCATCTAACGTCAGAATTAACATACTGTTTACAAATCGTTTAACTCAAAACATGAAATCAGTACCTGGGCAACGTCGAAAAACTTTACCACGATTTTACGATATTCCGTGTACACCTAGTGTATCGCAAGTATGCACCATATTAAAATTGATACAAATTGATCAAACGAGTTGCCCAAGGGGAATGGAGGGGGGTGTGGGGGGGGTGAACGCCCCTCCCCTAAAAACTACGACCTTTCTGCGGATAACCCTAACGCCGCCGTTTACATTTTGCAATATTGTAATCGTAATGAATGTACGCATCGCCCACCTAACCCAACGTAACGTGTGTCCAAATGTGCGTTCGACATTGCCGCGTCTGTCCGCGAATCCCCCCCCTCACNCCCCCCCCCGTACGTATAATTATAATCGATTTCGGATTTGATTTCCGACACGCGCACACGCGCACACGCGCGCACACACACACACACACACACACACACACACATGCGCGTGCGCGCGCGCGCGTACCCGTCACGGTGCGGGTACAGTCCGACGTTTGTCGCAAACTACGTTATTACACCCGCGCGTTGATACGACCCCGCCGATCGGAATCTATTCCGAGATTTGGCGAATTCGTCGCGTCTCCGTCTCGGTAATATTATTATTGTACGTTATCGCGCCGTGCGTCCACAAATATTTTCCGTACGTACGGCTGTGCAGTCGTCGTCGCCGTCGTCGTTTAATCCTCTCCCGGTCCGTGAAATATAATATAACATAACGGCAATGATAATAATAATATTATAACGGCAGGGGCGGTTCGGTAATGCAACACAAACAACACTGTTTGCACTCCGCCGAGCAGACGGCCGGCAGTGTACGGCGACGGCGATTCAGGTAGTCGCGGAGTCGAGCCGCGGAGTAGTGCCGTTATTGTACACCCGCTGCGGGGCATTAACGGTTTTTGAAATCAAAGCGCGTAGTGCGGCGCAGGAGCAACAAGTCCGTCGAACGAACTCTCGTGCCTTCAAAGTGCCGTGCTGCGGATGTTGTACCGCGTGCCCTAAGAAAATTCCACTTGACGTCGAGTAAAATAATAACGTAATATTATCACTGCGGTGTCGTTTTATATACTCGGTTGTCGGGTCTTTGAAGACTACAATATTGGCATTGTGTAGGTGCGTCCGCTTATTCGCGGCGAATCGCGTAATTGAAAAGCTGCTATTTCCGACCAAAAAAAAAAAAAAAGCGGACGCGCTTAACACACCAACGCACCGCGGGTGTACTTAACACATGCCTACTGTTGTATTAGCGAAAATCGTGTAAGGCGAGAGAGATGAATCGTCGTTGCAAACGGAAAACCGATCCCGACTGAAGTTCGGTTCAACGAATTTCAGTACAAATTTTAGTGTAGAACTTAATATTATGTTAGTTTACATAACTCTGACATAAATAAGTGCATTTTTTCGTGTTTTTTTTTATCTTAAATTTGTCACCGTTTTTTATGGAGCCGAAATAGTTTTATCAGCATTAATCGGGAAACAGAATGTCATTTATTACGGATCTTATCAGAATCCAAAGTTACTAAATTATGTTCAATTTTTTTGAAGATCTCATTGCATTTACTAGACCCACATTTTATAAGTACCAGAAACTAACATTATATTTGTTAATCAGGCCATGATTTTTGGTAGAAAATGATTTATGTTCAAAGAAGTAAACAAAACCAAAACCCAACACATTCGTTGCTACGATCATAATCTAATAAACTCGAAACTGTGTTAATAAAGCGGCTTTTATGAGACCGAAATTATTCAGTTCGATTGTGGTTTGTCGTTTTCTTTTTTTCTAAAATGAGAAAACTTATAATATCGTTCGCTCCTCCGTGATTTTTTCAGCATGGACAGCCAGAAGAGATCAATGATAAAAATATTCGTTTAATTAAAAAGATAAAATAATAATTTTAAATCTAAAGCACCTAAAATGCACGCACAGGTATAAAGAAGATTATAATTATAATTATTAAACTTATATTAAGCAGTTAATCATAATAATTTCACAGAGTTTACGATTCGCGAATTGTGTTTATCCACTTTTATCGGTTAGTCACTTAATTTCGAAATACGCCATGGACATTGATTAAAATACAGAATAATATTATTAATAAATTTTACGAAACCGAATCCTTTCAACGTCGTACATACATATTTCGAATACTTCGATTTTTTATAACGTCGGTTTGATTTTTTTTTTTTTTTCGTAGTATAGGTTGAAAATATCATTATAATAATATTCCTTCAGGGTTGTGCACGGTTTTTAATGGAGTATTTAGGATTTTTTTTTTTTTACGGGCGAGAGGAATTATTTTCCAATGAAAGAGCCGTACACAGCGGTGTAACTCACACACACCATATTATATTCAATACATTCGCGTTGCGTAAAAACGATTCACATACAAATTATTTCGGCGTTCATAACAATCATAACGATAATAATACAACCGTCGGTCATAATAACCAATTACTGAACCTCGCGTACACGATAACACATATTGTTTATACTGAAACGCGAAATCGAATTTTTTTTTTTTTTTTTTTTCAAATTTTGCTTGTCCGGTGATAGTGTTATCGAGACATTTTTCGATGACGCGACAATACCTATAGTTAGAAAACAGTCACGTTTTATAGTAATTGTTAAACGCGATTTCAATGAACACCGCGTTTATAGATACTATGGTGGTCATCCGTTATCCCACTTGATACGATTAAGTGTCTACCGAATCGCATACACCGGTCTCCGCGAGAAACCCGGCACGTCATGCTCCGCGAAAATGTATATTTTACCCGTGTAATATCAAATGTATAAAATAAACCGTTGGTACGGCTCGTTTAATATTTCTTAACTCGACATTCTGTCGCACGGCCGCGCAATCGCCAACAACATTGAAACCAGCTGATTCGGGAGATATAATCCGCTTAATATCTCACGTAAAACCTTATCGTAGGTCAACGTGTAGTATCGGAAAAAGATTTCGTACACGTGCTGAAAACACTATCACGTACGGCCCGTGTGACGATAACACAATTTAATGATGAATATTAATAAATATTTTTATTTTTTATACTGGTCATGATTGCTCACGAGTAGCGGTTTACACTGAGATGATACAGTTTGCAAAACGTATTTGTATTTGGATAGACATTTTTTTATCGTTAATTTTAAGTGCCAATAATCCTGAAAAATATGAACTGAATCATTTGATCTACGCTGGATATTGTTTAATGCAGCCGAACCACAACGTGTGTGTGATACAGGTTAATAAAAGTCTATGCATGAAAAAAAAATTGGAGAACATTGTTTTCTATCGTCCAATTTATACCCGAAGTCTTTTTTTTAAAAAAAAAAATAATAATATAATAATAATAATAACAATGATAATTATAACGTCGATGCGTATATTATGGCGAGGAAATATTAGGTATATCTACCCCCTCCTTCCCTTATAATATAAAATATGCCACTGCAGTGCCGGCCGGATTGTCATTGTAAACCATACGTAATGAAATTATATTTTAATAATATTACCGTGTTCTGTCGGGACTTCGGGAGAGTAGTATAACAGCCAATCAACGTGCGGCTTTTACTTGTCAACGCCACCCCATACGTATTAAATGGAGACAAATTAATGACTTTTTGTGTTTACTTTACTTTTTGTTTCGGTGTATATATTATTCCCGAACTGACTTTGCGCGATACTGTAATATATGTTCACGTTCGTGTCAAGGAAAAAAAGTATTAAACAAATACGCATTTTTCTCACTTGTCTTGATAAATATTTCGTGACTACAGATACCTTTGCCTGTCGGTTAAATTAAAACATTCATACAACTAATAAATAAACTCGCAGGGGTTATTATGTCTTTTCCAGTATACAGGGTGAACTACGTACATCAAGACAATAATATGTTAATAAGTAATATTATCTCTCAGGGGTTGACTTTTTTTTTTTACTTATTTTGTTTACAATTTAACACACAAGCAGTTCTAATACGTAACACGACCTATATATTCAATCGTTCTTATTTTTAGTGGAGAGTAAAATTTTAAGTGCGCTATTTTGTGAACAGGATAATAGTAAAAGAAAACAATTCAAATATTGTGTATTGTGTCATCGCACAAATGAACTTTAACTAGTTTCTTCCTGTCCATAAAATGACAAACTAAAAAGTGTAATGTTCCGTCAATTGGCCGATGGAAAATAAAAATTTCATCGCCAGAATTTATTCCCATTAAAACTTCATCTATTTCTTTAATATACATATATAAAGTTTTTAAGTATAAAACAGAAATTAGTGGTGGTTTCATCATCAAAAACAAGGATGACACAAATTATCGGTAATATAACAGTTTCAATCTGTTTCTTGAATATTGTCTAAAATGACAAATTTTAAAAATAGTTGATACTCTCCAAGATAATGAGTGCGTTACGTTATTTTTATCACTCTGTATGTAGAAAAGTTAATATCTCATAAAATGTATGTTTTTATTACAGTAAATTATAGTCCATTAAATTATTATTTTAATTACAGGACAGGCATAATGAATTTAATTCATTTATTAACGTAAACATATGTATTAAATATTTACTCGTGTAATTGGTAAAAAAAAAAAAAAACCCGTAGCCAACCGAGCTCTGCTGCTAGAGTCAAATTTCTCCCCATTTATTTTGTAGTATTTAACTTTTGCAAAATAATAAATTACCGAATACTACAATATTCTAATACAATTGTATACTATACAACAATACAATACAAAACGATACAGTTATACTAAAATTATACTACTTCCAAAAAGAAAAAGGTGAAATTTGATCATAAAAATGGTAAAGGAAGGATTTAAAAGTTGAAACCGCAAAAACACATCTTCGATACGTTAAATAAATGCCACGTGTATACCAAATTTCACATATCAGAAAACTCCTCCATCAAAAAAATGATAAAATTTATATTGAAATATTTAATCTGACTTAAATATAATTCCCTAGATTATTTGTTTCAGATGAGAAAGCGTCACTAGACATTTCCAAAAAGAGTGAGAAAAGAATATTCATAAAACAGAAATAATATAGTCACTATATCCGGGGGAAATTCGACAAAAAATGAAATCCACTATTATAGTAATATTTTTGAATATTGTAGTTACTGATTTTTTAATTTATTATTATTTTTTTTTAACTCAGACACACAGAAATTATGTTTATTATAATCTTTATATTTATTAATTTACTAACGCAGATATTTCAAAATTAAATTGCGATTTAGTTTAAAAATAGCTAGGTGGAGTATATATTTACAGGTTACTCGTATAATATTATACAATTTAATCAATTGAAATAATTCAAAATTAATATTCAAATTTTTTTTTTTCTAAAAGCAATTTTAATATTATGTTAAATAATTATTCGAAGATTGACAATCATTATCTGTCTTTGTATAACAATGACAATGTATATAGATACATTGTCATTGAAAAAGAATTCCTTAAGTCAATTTTTGGTATTTCTTATAATTTTGTCTAATGTATTTCCCCCTCCCTTCTTTTTCAACCTAAAATTCATCGGTAAATATGTTTTGATAATTAGTGTGTGTACAAGTAAAATATATTTTTTAAAAATGTAGTTTCTTGTATTGAAAACTATATTTTGTTACGTCAAAATATGGCATTTTATTTACCACAAAAACAGTTACCTACAGGTATCTACCACCTACCAAATTATTTATTATTAACATAATTTAAAATTAATATAAATTTAACCATACCGTTCGTTTTACCTGGAATATATATTATTTAAACCCAAAAATAACATGCAATTTATATTCGATATAATATGCGCATAATTATAATATAGGTACATATTTAAAAAATGCGTAGGTACCAACACATTTTAGAAACAATAAATTGTATTAAAACATTCGCTGATATTGTGTTATTGATTATATTACCGGTGATGCGCTGCAGTGTGTTGTGTAAAATTTGTGTCAACGGGCCGTATTTGAATAATATATATATATAGGTGTGTACGAATAATGTGTGTACCAATATAAAGTATTCGCCCCTACTTGTTTACTGCGTAAATGAGGAAACAATTTAGAATACTCCTGTCTGAGGATTCGGGGGCACTGCAGTTGGGATTTATCATACTGAATGTAAAGCGCAATTAAAAAATTATCAACTTTGTGTAAATATTGAATAAGTACGTCAAGTGCGGAAAACCGTTAAGATATCCATAAAAAATGTTTAAAAATTATGATTGTCGTAATTTCATTATGAAACTTGACTAATTAAACTAAACGTTAAACAATATGTATAATAAAGGCTAATTCATAATTAAAGCATGATAGTTATAATTTATATTTATAAGTAAACAATCGCAAGGCTGGACGAGTTAGCGAATACAAATAATATTATTGAAACACAAACAAGTGAACTAACTAGGTAAAAATTACATGTTTTTTGTTAATTGGCTTATAGCCATAAGAACACCACTGTTGTAGGCGGGAAGTTAGAATGGTAGGTAACGCAGTTATTTAATTTATATCTCTAAGCAACGATAAATAATTGATAACGAAAAATGATTGAATGAAGCAATGTTCGTTTATATTTACACGATTTAAATGGCCGTAATATTTACGATTTTCATCTACATCCGATGAACGAATAAGGGTGACGAAAAATAATGGAAATATTACATTTGAAATTGTCAACAAAATGTTTTTTAAAAAAAAAAAATCGATACTCGGTGAAATAACGAGTGTTTCGGTTACATAAACACCCCATATATATATATATACACGAGATGGAATTTGAATTTGGCCCCTTAATACATTACTATTATACACGTGTGCTTTATGTAATATTTTACTAATACAAAGTATTGTTTTTGTCGGGTTTCAATAAACCGCGCTGTATTTATATATACGTGTGTATTACATTGTATAAAGTAAGTTAATTAAATCTCAAAATTGATTATGGCAGAACGCGAAATTTATTAATTCGGCTCTCTGTTATACCCACGCCGGGTTTACAATGACAACGGGTGCGTTGATAATACACGCGCACAAGTATATCGATTTGATTACTGTGTATAAATTGTAAAACGCATATAGGAGTTAAAACGTTAGTTTGGCCGAAAACCGTGTAGCCGTTGAAACGCTAAAAAAAACCGATATAAATGAACGAACGTATCGACAATTAGATTCTGAGAGAACAGCGAGGATTGGTTGAACTGCGTGTGCTGGTTTTATTTTTATTATTATTTTTCTTTCTATGTACAACTAATATTCTCCTAGAAATCTCACTTCGACCGCAAACTCCAAGGGCGGTTTCTGTGGGAAAATGTTGTCTAGTGTGTGTGCACGGGATAAATGTATTTATTTTCCTTTGTAGTTTTCTTAATAATTGAGGGGGGAAAAAAAAACGACGATAAACCCAGAAAATGTACGTAATAACGGTTTCTGTTATTATCGATTTTGTTTGATCGTTGAGTTCAAACGACAAATATCGTAAGAACACGGAATTTTCACCGCACACTTATTGTGTTTTTTCTCAAAACAGTGAAATTTTAAACAGATGATTTTGATTTTCAAGCTATTTATAGCCGTTTAAAAATTGCAAGTTGTTTTTTAGTTTCTTTGTGGTTTTACGGACAATTTTGGCCCACTTTTTTGTTTTCGCGTAACACGAACAAAACACAAAGTACCACAGGATAGGTGACAGTAAAATATTTATTTCCGTAGGCTAGTTCAAAAGTTAATAACACATTCAATTTCTATATTTGTCGAAAATAAATCATTTATAGTTGGTATTCTATTCAGAATCGGTTAAGAATTTGTTTTTTTTTTTTACTCGGTACCGAGTTATTTATCTACGTGTTCAGAATTTATAATTCAATATATTTCCTTCGTTTCATTTCCCGATTCCCAACTTTTTATTTTTTATTTTTTAACGTTATTGTAATTATTATTGCCACCGTTAACATTATACCTCGGGCAAAATAATATATTTATACTAACCGTCGACGGTGAAAAACGCAAAAATTATTATGATTTCGATGACATAAATTCACTGGAATATAATTAAAACTTTTTTTTTTTTTTTTTAATTTCCCTGTTAGAAATCTGAGATTTATATAATAATCACCACGATATAATATGATATTCGCTTCACAGCAAACACCACAGGCCGCAGTTATAGCATAGTAGTTTACTCGCGATTTAATTATCGATATAAGCATTACGGAAACCTGCAGTTCCTTTAATAGTGTTATTTACGTCTACAGCCGTTATACCCGACGCAATGTTCCTTAAAACTTCCGTTTCTGAATGAAACGAACGACCGACTAGACTTTATAGCGAGTGTCGAATTAAAAAGTCCCTGGCGGTTGGCTTTTTCTCGGCACTCTGGTCGTATACCTACGTGGCCATCGTGGTGTTTAACGATTTATAACTTTGTAGACCGACAGCTGCAGTTTTATGAGCGTTCGCCGGGATTATTGTGCGCGAGCTGTTCGGTCTCGCACGAAATTTTTCCGGCCGTAGGTTTCAAATCCACGCGGTTCTATAGCCGCTGATAATTTTCACGTAAAAAAAATATTTCGAACTACGCGTATTGGTACACTCATTCGGTATAGACACGCGGAAAATAATCCACTACAACGCGAAGTTAATCAATTCCTATATTCGGTTAGGTATTTTCTTGTCACGTGTATATTATAATTAAATACGAGCTGAACATTTTTAAAAATAACACCGTGACGCTAGTGGACTTTTTTTATTTAAATACATTATGTCGGCATTGGATATATTTTTCTTCAATGTTCAGCTAATTGTCAATGTGATAAAGCATTACTCAACGATAAAATAGTGTTTTTAATTTATCCAACATGGCACTATGAACGCGAAAAACGCGAAACTGCGCCTTTATTTCACGTAGTCACGTTTTTACTTGTTGAATAAAAATCAATGTTGGTGTAATACGAGTATATATTGGATATGAAATGGCAATAATACATTTGCGGAATTGTATTTCATAATACTGGTAGATTTGCAGTCATAATATTTTGAAATGTGCGACGGCCTTGTATTTTTAAATCGTTTTCAACGTTACCAGTGCAATATTGCATTTACTCATAAAAGTAGGATTTCATAAAGCACTTTCGAGTATTTGAAAAAGATAAAGAATTTTTAGGCGAGCTCGTAGTAGTTGTTTAGTTTCTAAATAGTTTACGAAAGAAACTACGTTTTTCAAAGATTTTTGTCTCTCCCTCCTACCCCTTCGCAAACAATTATTTTTTACTTGATAAAAATGCTCCGATTTTGTCGGGATATACATCAAAATAATAAGTGGATTTTTTAGCCGCTGTTACTTTATTTGAAACAATTTATCATCATTTTCAACTCCTGATCACCCCTGGGTTCTTTTGTTTGGTTTTTAAAATTTCTGTTAGTTTTTGATTTACCTACCTTGAACGCAATGCCAAAAAACGAATAATACACCGATTCGCTAAAAATCGTTTTCGGTGTGCAATAGTTTATCATTATAAAACAAATAAATAATTGACTAACAAACTAAATAATCCAACTTAATAGTTATGTATTATCCGAACCTACCAAATAACTACGAATGCAACAGTGCCCTTCCCATAACGACCGAAATATTTTCGGCTGTTAGATTTTAAACGCAGCGGAGACTATTGGTTTTACTATGACGAGTGTTAATAAAAAAGTTAATTTTTGGTATTATTTTTTATTTTTTGGCAATTAATTCAGGACACATTGAACAGTTGTAAAATGTTATATTTATATTATTTTTCGGTCATTCGTTTGTGTTCGGGGCTGAAACCACAACCGTCCCGCTTTTAATTTCCATATTGAAATCTCACTCCGTTCTCCACCTCCCCCCCCCAAAAAAAAGACGACTAAATAACAACAAACTATTTAAAAGCGCTTGTGTCTTAAATTGCCCGAAAAAAAAGAAAAAAAAAAACGTTCAAAAATTGTAATGTTCCCGAGATAACGAGTGACTTATACCGGGGATTAATCACACTGTGTACAAACTTAATTAAATTCCGGTTTTAGGTGTGTGGGTATTGTACGAATATTATAATTGTGCGTCGTCCCTTCTCGCGTTTTTTTCGGCCACCGGAAGCCGAACCAATTAATTCGCCGGTTTCGCGTGCGCGCCCTCTGCGTCCACACCCGCCCCCGCGTATGCGCGCAGGAGCCCACGCGCTATATATTATTATAATAACCGCGTGCGTGCGTGTGCGTATATATACACATATACACGTATACGTACCTACGTCTAGGGCGAATTGTAATTTTAATACCGCGCGTATATATGTGTGCGCTACGGGATTTCCGCCGGGATAAGGTTAATTATTGGCGCTTTCAACTTGGCGCTGGGTCGCGTGCGCACAATATGTGTGCAGGATTTATACTTCGTTCCGGCCGGAACGACCGCGGACACGCAACTATTAACTAAATATAATTCGCCTATGTATGTATGTACGGGTATGTAGAGGTAGGTGCTTGCCATACCGCTCTTCCGCGGAAACCCGCGACCGACTCTAATTACTCACGTAAGCGTATTCGCGGGAGCTGAAAAAAAAAAAAAAAAAAAAAAAAAATAAAAAAACAACGACGTTTTCTTATCTCGGCGGCTATTTAACTTTCCCCCCCCCCACTCCCCGCTTAACCGCCGGAACCGGCGACGTCGAATAAAACGCGTAATACACTATTACGGTTTTGATCGATCGCGTCAACGGGCCAGTTGCGGCGGATCTAAACGACCGGCCATCAATCGGGGGCACAATTCCGACGTCCGATGTTCGGCTTCGTTTCGTTTTTATATTTTTGTTTCTGACCGATAATTTATTGAAAATTACCCGAAACCACGAGACCGTCGTCGTCGTCGGTTTCGAACGCGTGCGATCGCGTTCGTACGCAATATATTTAATACGAACGAGAGATTTATGTATTTCTGCAGGTTTTCGTTCTATTTTTTTTTTTTTTTTTTCCCCAGGTACTGTATTTTGCACGTCGTTGAATCATTATTATTGTTCATTTCACTGCAATGCTCGCACGCGCGTACATCGCACGGTTTAGAAAAAAAAAAAAAAAAAAAAAAAAAAAAAAACAAAAAAAGTACTAACGAGTGTGGTGCAACTCGTAACTCGTAAAGCCAAATTTTTATTTTTAAACCACTGTTATTATTTAAAATAAATAAAATATATTAGACTGTATTACCAAAAATTATTTCTGAATTCGCGTCTCGTGCAAGCTACGGTGGCGGGGGTGGGGGGTTGTGGTACGGCTTATGTTAGCAATGGTTCCCCAAACATTTTGGCCTAAATTGCGTCATTAGAGACAGAGTGATCTCTGGAGAATTACGAGAAAAATTCGCATTAGAAAAACTATAAAGTATAATATACGTAACGGCGACGATGAGTCGGATAATATCTCAAATCGGGTATTTCTAATGAATTGTATTTTGCTTATTGTTATTATTTTTTGTAATATTTTAAGTACCTATTCAGTTGTGAGTTTTTATAATATGTCAAAGGGTTCATCCCGTTAGTTCATTATAAATAAACAAAGACGTGACTATGAGACGATGATCTCAGATATCAGTATTCAGAAGCATTGTGGATAATGTACTGTTTTATCAGACAATATTTTTTTTTTTTTATTTGTAAATGAAAACACCTGTCAGGGTTTTCATTGATGGCCGTCCCATTGCTGACGTTTATTTTATATAAAAGCGATTTTCAGCAATTTTTTTACATAGATATAACGATTTTAAACTATTTTTTTCGCCCTAAAGCATAAACTCGTACAATATTTTCTTTTTCTGCCTTTCTAAAATCAACGTAAATCATATACGGGTTTTGATTTTCGAATTGTAAAACGGATTTTTTAATTAAGATCCGAAAATAGAATATTTGGCTTTAAAATGTTGATAAAATACGTATTATATAACATTTTAAAGTTTAGGCCGGAAGTTTAGTAAAGGGTTATAATAAAATTGTATAATATCAAAGTTAGGTATGTAAGAAAGTTTCGTGACGGGAAAGTATAAGTATAATGTAGTGAGTATAAATTAATCCCCGCATCGTCGTCACTAAAAGTGATGAATTTTTAAAAACTTGCAGAATACACGCGATTGCATGCGTACAATCTGTGAAATTATTATCTGTATATAATGGATATTCCATTCCTTTTTCTTAGATTCTATGCCTATGCGTTTTAATAAAACTCGTATAGTGATTATATTTATACAACTATACGGTCTATACACAAACTACTGTATTTTTCAAATTCAGCGAACTATATGGCAAAATCGTGTTTACAGCTGAAAAAATCTTAAAAATTTGAATTGGTTTTACAATATACGTACATGAAGTTGGACCCCCCCCACTTTGGCCGATTGCTTTCGGACATATTGTAAACAATTGAAAAATCCATTGAAAATTATTGTATTATGTTATAAATTTTAAAATTCGCCGGAAAGTTTTAAAAATTGTACCACATCTAAAACGCGCTAATACAAGTATAATACGAGTATTTGGTCATAATTTCAATGTAAAACCGAAATCGAAAAGAATATAAACCGTTCTTGCGTACATATTTTACCCGGTTATTAATTATTAAATTATGAGGAAAGCCAAACAATCGTCTTCTTGACGCGCCGATTAGACAGACTTTGCTCCGAGGACCGATTCAATAGAGTTGACGACTGGTGCAAGAACTCTGGTGGAAAAATGCGCGCACAGACAGAATAAAAAAGCCCCATAGTATATACAAAAGCACAATGAAAAATCGCAGAGTAGTTCGGGATAATATTATATCGATCGGCGTTTTTTCCTGTTATTAACGTGTAACCTTTTTTTTTTAATGACACAAATTCAGGTTACGAAACAATTGAGTCCAAAACACTTTTTTTTACGGAATTCTCGACGTACCAAAGGACATAGAAATGCAAAAGAAAACCTACTGGGTAGAGCGTAAAAATCATTGCGACGTCGCCATTTTAAATTTTGAACTACGTATTATACAATAAATATCAATTAAAATAATTGTAATAACACAAAATACGGTGCGCGTCGAAAAAAATCATCGCGGTTCTATTGTCAAGTGTCAATGCACTTGTTTTTATAATAAGAACATTAACAGTAAACGGATAGTAAAACGATCGCACTTGCCGGTTACCGCCTACCGCGAAGTTGAAATATAATAAAACAAAATAAACGTGTACGCACGGACATCCGTTTGCCGTTCGGCTTGTACGCACAATAGTAGAGATAATCACAGTTCGCACAACATATCCTGCGCTCGATCGTGTTTTTACGGCAACGCTGTTCGAACACAATCGACTTTCGTTGATAACCGTCGTGTCGTATTACAATATCGATTGTAACGCGTTCAACGGACAAACTGCGAGATTGAAATTTACCGCGCGTGCATAAAAATTATATAATATTTAATATCGCAGTACGTAGCTGTAGTGCACGTGATCTGATTCGCGTACACCGCGACAGCAAGACCGTCTCGGATGTTGAATTTTTTTCAAATCTGTTTAAGGAGAAAGAAGAATGAAAAAAAAAAAAAACCCCCGAATAAAACGAAATGCGTTAAGCAGTTTAGAGTTAATGAATCGCGGAATATTAAAATACTAGTCCGGATAGATTGAAGTGGATTATCTCCGTAAGCGTAATTTCAAATTCATTTGGCAGATACCTAATGTACTAACTACCTAAACCCGGTTTTCTGGCCTCGCAGATGAAACACAAGTTTCGCAATTTAAAACCGGGGAAAAAAAAACAAACGCCTAAATGAACTTTCTTAATCAACGTAGGCATATTAAATTAAATATATCCGTTTTATCTTACCGAGTGTAGTTCTTGGCGAACAGACTCTTTGAAATAACGTCCATTCCAATGTTTGATGGTGGTACCCGTTTTCGGATCACGCCACAGCGATCGAGACCCTCGTTATTATTTCGGAATACCCACTCGCGATGAATGAAAATTGACGAGGATCGTCCGTTACTGCGTTATTATTTTGAAAAAACATTATTAAATCGTACACATTTAAAACCATATTGAATTATTGTTATCGTTATTAATTTAAATATGAGTGTAGGCTGATTGGTAATGCTAATGGGCGTGCCGCTTTTTTAGGAGAGAAGTTGATATCCTTCTGTATATTGTTTAGAGTAATTAAATTTATATTGGTATGCAACGTTAAACCATTGCTTAGGAAAAACGATTCTGAGAAGAGTATAATTAATCGTATTCTTACCCTCGTTGACATAACTGTGTTGGTTACACAGAAATTAACAAAATGCATGTAAACAATTGCTATTTTTTTCCCCATTTTCAGGAAAACTACGAGGCAAACTAAAAAATACCCTTCTCGATGCACCGAAAAAATCATCAATTCTGTAAGAAAGTTCCTCTACGGTATGCAGAACATTTTTTTACAGATAGAAAAAAAATCGCACACATCGTAGTTCGTAACAAATTATATAGATTTGAAAAATGTCCAGTTAACTATTTGCAAATATCACAATATTATTTCATTTATTTTAGTTTCTACACATCGTTAACATAATACACAAAGCTATACTGAAGTATTTCGAAATTGTACATAGGATTTTAGCTTTTAGTTTAAACAAGTTTAAAAAACTTTGCATCCTCGCTGAGTAGATTTTTTTTTTCGACCTATAGAATTTGTAACTTAACTATATTATCCATAACTAACGAGTAAAATTTTGATGTAACCACGTATCGAATTATAGATAATAATCGCCAAGAACAAAATTTATTTTTACTGTAATAGAAATTGTAGGAAAATATAACAAGAGTAAATTACAGCCAACTATATAAACGGCTAATGGAAAATACAGCATTAAAAAAAAAATTCATATCATATTTAAATGCAATTTATTCGTCCGGTCATAGATGTATTAGGCCGTATTTTCCTGTGTTCGTTCGTATACTTGGCCATATTTTACGTTGGTAATTTTAATATATGGACATTTTAAAAATACACCATTTCATACATTGTATTTTATTCATACCATAATTTTTGTAGAAAAATGTGGTTCAAATAAAATAAAATACTAATTATTAGGTGAGGTTAGGTTTGGTTAGACTATAAGTTTACATGTACCTGCAAGTTGTATGATTTATTTTGATTTTTGTTATAATTCATTTGTATAGTAATTGATTTTTATTAACTGAACTTAGTAACTTAGTTCAATTACTAAACTTATACTAAAATTAAGTAGACAATTCACCCGATTCTAGTTATTCTTGGTTATTTTTTATAAACTGTAATTTTATACGTAGTTTCGTGGAATCAGTTACATGATTAATTATTTTAATTCTTTGTTGCCGAATATCGATATGCGAATTCTGCAGTAACGTTTTCAACAATAAATAAAGTTTGATATATTCAAATAATAAATGTATTTGTATTTTGAATCACGTAAAAAAATCTGAAATCACGGTCTTGAAAAACGATCAGTCTTCGAAAGCGTAAAAAAAAGCAATTTCAGAGACCAAAAACTATAACGAACGCGCACAATCCGCGAACAAATGTTTCCTTATAATATAGTATCACGCGCCACTGAACGCATTTCACTCTGAGCCCCTTTTTTTTCAAACGGAATTCAAACAATTGATTTCTATCTTGTCTTGGAGCAAATCAGTTAAAGTTATAATTCGATTAAGAACATAAGCTATACAGTGCACATTCGTATTAAAAAAAAAAATAGGTTTGGACGGTCAATTAATTATTTTACCTTCTAATGTAATCATTTGTAATCGAAATAAAGCAACTAAATTTGTACTAATAATACATTGTATACACATATATTATACATTATACATATACAACGACAACATCTGTGCTTTGTCTGCGCTTTTTTCTTCTATAGTTAATAATATTATAAAATAATTTAAAACTATTTTTTTTTTCGAAATTTTATGCATACGTACACACAAAATCGGGTGTACCTAATAAATTTATCGGAAAAAATGAAAACACTGTAATGATAAAATAATATTAATTTTAATATAACGTAAAATTATTGATTATTAATTTCTACCGTAATCTGTGCAAAATATTTTATAGATTTTATTCAGACTTTATACGATAATATATGTACATAAGAATACGGGACTATTATTAATAATATTTGATAGCGAATTAATTTTTTCCCGCAATTTCGTTAAAATTGACACTGTTATTTAAACAATATAAATTGCCATTATCTGCTGCACGGCCACAATATTATACAGAGTGATTGTTTTATAAGTAATTTCCTCGGAGGATTTTAAGGGGATTTTTATTAAGATTCAACCGTTACGGAATCGTTTATTTTAACATTACTTTTAAGTGTATTTATCTGTTCTTTATTTCCAAACACCTTTGCCAAGTACACCTACCATTTGAGTTTTCAAATGACAATCCTCTTATTTCAAAACACAGATTGGAACAAAGGATATTTGTTTAAAAAATGTCGATATGTATGTTACTATCCATTAATATCGAACATTATACCATTTATGAAGTAAAACGTTTTGCAATTTTTTCCGAGATGAGTAGAACAATATTTTTTATATATATATATATGTTAAAGTATTTAAACAGAAAAACCAAATTATATTATCACATAACGAGTAATATTTAAAAACGGCGTTAAAATAAAAGAACCTAAATAAATGAAAGAGACGAAAACCAAATTCACGTATAATTATTATTTTATTAATTGAAAACTTGAAATACTCCGAGAAAATCGCAGGACACGATGTAAAAACTCATCTTAAATTTTCACAACGGGTGTGAATTGCCGAAATTCGATAATCCGGATTTTGAGAAAACAAAATCCAGAAATGCGCATATTTTAAATAGTAATAATTACACATTTTCTTAAATATATAAAATTAAAAATATGATGCATAATAGATTTTTAAAAATATCGAAAACTCGGCATTGAAATGTTCGTATTTTGAAGTCCGAAATTCGAATTTCGTTGTCTAAATTGCGGATCTTTCGGATTATCCTGATAGCTACAATACGTTAATCACTATTTGTTATAACGGTAAATTGACGTTGGTTATAACACCAACAACAACAATTAATATTGGCGAACGAAAAACTTAAAAAAAATAATGTTTTTTTCGTAATATGAATTCGATCGATACGACTATTTGACGAGATGATGCTAAAGCCGACGAATCATTCGCTTTATTATACCGCGAAAAGGACGAAGATAATAAAATTATATATGATTTGTGTGTTATATCACATTATTTGGCCCGCGGCGTTTGAGGCGCGTATACGAACACACTCTCGATTGAACTGTTATAAGATCCGGGAAATCATTTTATATTTTCGCCCCGTTTCTCTACCACACACACACACATACACACACACACACACATACACACTCTCTCTCTCTCTCTCTTTCTTTCGTAATCTCGCGTGCTAATATAGAAAGATTTTGCGATTCGTAGCACCGAGTAAACGAGAAACTTCCCGTGATCCGTTTCTCGTGTGTGTGAAGTACAACATGAAAATAGATGAACAGTTTGAAAAGTAAGGTATACAGATAGTAATTTAATTTATATCTGTGTGTACAAAACGAAAAACGTTTCTCAGCGAAGTTGTGCTAAATATATATTTTGAAATGCCATGGTTAATACGATTTTCGTCAAAATTTAAAACAATGTTATTCGCGTGAAACCAAACACGTTAGGAAAGTCCAATCTCCGAACGTATAAAGTTCCCGATTTTTAACTGTTTTATTAAACAATAAACTATATCGTTCAATACCCGATTTAAAAAAAAAAAAAAAAAAAATAACTAAAAAAAATTCACAAACCTAATATGCTTCATTGTAGAGAAATTCCAACATTAAATAGAAACAATAAATGTTATACATTAAGTTAATAAGACAATAACGGTAGTCTACTAAATACCGAACGTTCGTTTGAAAATGAAAATAATATTAACAGTATCTTTCCTTTATCAACCAAATCAACAGCCGTAAATATGTACTAGTAACTATGTGGATAGATGGACGGACAGACGTAACGGAGATATTGGATAAAGTTATGTTAAATCTATGCTTGGACATTTAATAAAAAAAAAAAAAATAACTAAAAAAAATTCACAAATGTAAATGTTTATAAATAACTCGAATATCGCCAAAGTCCGTTAAAAATTCTGCTTCTAGAAAGTGTTCTTCCAATAGATTTGTTTATTTCATTACGTTTTTACTCTATTACAATAAAACAGATAATAACAAAAATTGATATTATTTTTGCGTAAATATGCGTGGTTTTCAACGGTTTTACATTATTGTTAAGGAAACTAAAGACAAACTAAAATATGGCCACGCTAGTCCCCGTGTACCAAAATCAAACAAAATTCGCTACCGGAAACCGCTCATAAAGAACGGAGCGAGATTTCTGGTAGAAATCTTGTTGAACAAATTAACATGCAAACATTGTAACAAAAAAACCAATACACTATTCGCTACGGTCAGAATCTAAAACGGCCAATAACCATTGTATAACATTATCTTGAAGGCACGTCAAAATTCTACCTACCACGGGTCGTGTAAAAGGACACTGAACGGCCGTCACGGATAAATTATAATATTATTTTAGGTAAATGTGTTTTTTATCTAACGCAAGCAAATTTCGATTACCCATATCATATTATATAATTATTTATTTGTTTTTATTAAAACAATGTTTTTTTTTTTTTTTTTTCCATGGGTAGCGAACGAAATAACTTTGTTTTTGTTTTTTGAGCGACCATCATTGCGCGGTGATTGACACTATATAGAGTACGGTCGTGGGCCGCAGATGGCATCGAAATGCCAAAGGTAGGTCGATGTAATGATTAATCGTAAACCGTCGGTTTCAGGCAATTATTCATATAAAAAAATAAAAAAAAAAAAATAAAAAGTTCGGTAAAAGTTTTTACGACGCTGTTCGCAGCCCATCTCGTTTACGATCAATGGAGAGGGTCGAAATATTATTATATATTATGTACAGTATTATAATGCGATCCAAAACCGTCAGAGACAAACCTCGATCGTTAATATCCATCGTGGGCGGCTGCGGTGACGGTTGTTCTATGAAGATTTAAAATTCTTGATAAAAAAAAAAAAAAAAAAATCATTGTTTTTGTCGTGAAGTTAATGGGATTAATGGTGAAGCGGTGTGAAGGTTGAATGTGTATTTGCTTGCCGTCTGCAGAAAGACTTTTGCGGTGCGCTGAAATGTTTATAACACAAGCGTAATAGTGAAGCAATTCGGCAATTATAATTGCAATATGTATTTTATAAAATACATCAGTTACCGGTTTTTATTGCGCAGATCTGAATCAAATCGTTTCCTTTCCCATGATTTTTATAATTATATTCGAGTTCTGAACATGCTTCGTAATTAAGCGCAGTACGATTTCGCTGGCGCGCGTGTTTGTTTAGTTATGCTAGTGTCGATATCAATTTGTGATTGATAGTTGAACATGATAATTTAATACGGTGGGAAAATTACGTCGAAAATCTGCGGTCGCGGTTTCGTACTCGCAGTCGTAAGTACTTAATCGTACTTCATGATATCGGATACGAACGAGTGTAAAATATTAGCTATTAGTCGACAATTTAGGGTTGCATCGCGAACAATATTTGTTTAACAAAAATAGTTGGAAAAAAAAATTGTTGACGAACGAAAGTTTTACAAAACGAAACGGAATGGTTTATAAAAAGCGAGGTTTATTAAAATTGTGGCCTATATTACATCACGGCCGGACTTGATTATTCTGAGCTTAAGACAGTATCATCCCTTGAATCTCGACCCGTCGTTCTCGTTTATGATAATACGCCGACCTGCATTGTCGAGCCAGGCTGTTTTCCATAATAAAACGATCGAGTCATCGTCTCAATTATTATTATAACGGCTTGCAGGACGCCGCGCGTTTCTTCGCGAACAAAGGCCGAAAAAAAACAATACGGAATAAAATGCTTACGTTATTCGAATCGATTCAACTCGTCAAACAATCCGTTAAAAACACCGACGCGTTTTATTCAAGAGATCCGAACGACACGTATACTAAATATAACGAGTGACAAAATACAAAATGTGGACTTTATTGGATTTATAAATTGAATACTTATACTGAATTTCGGTCGAATTCTCCTGTTAAGTAGAACTAAAATGTTTGTGTTATTATTAGTGTGCATTTTATATAATATCATTATTTATTTCGTGTATTCACAGATTGCAGAGTATTGCTTATCATTCCGATCGAGGATTTAAAAAAAAAAAATAAAATAAAATAATCACACCTGAAAGTCTAAACGATTATAAGAACGAATTATTACACTACGTTCGACCTCATTTTACTTCTATGTAAAACTTGTGATAAACATTGTGTTCAATTTTTGAACATTTTTGCGTAATTAAAACAATTTTATCCACACAACACAAAATAAAAACTATAGTAACTCAACAATTTTATATAACTATACAAGTAGCAGCAAATCGCAGTATTTTTTTAAATTGTGCCACGTGTAGAATATGCTCAGGTGTTCGATGGAAATTCTCAGCTTTATACGATTTTTTTTAAATTAAATTACAGCAATAACTAGAAATCGAAAATAACAGTAACGTAAAAAGTTATTAAGAAAACTATAAAAGGAAAATTCAAAAGAGTGCTCACAAACACACCGACTAGACAAAAATTATTACCAAGAACCATCAATTAACTTGAAGAAGTTGTTTAGAGACACCAAAACAAATTCAAGAAAAAACTCAACTAACATTTAAACCTATACATTCTTTTTTATGCTCCAAATCTAAAAAAAAAAAAAACAAATTAAAATGAGCAAGAGTTGTAGTCCACCAATGTACAGTCTGTACTGTACGTCCCGGTTCGGAAAACATTGTTATGTCGACCATATATATATATATATAATATATATCTCCGGAACCAAAACGAAAATAAATCCCTCTCCTTCTTAACCGCCCCTCTCATCTACCCTCCCCGTCGATCGTCTAATACTACGTGATGTACGGCGAACACATACGTGCGATGATAAACGATCGTCCGATGATTAATGGACGTAGGCACGTCGTCACGCCGCTGGCCGATTTCCTGTTTTTTGGATACAATAATAATAATAATCGAAATAAAAATGATAATATAAACATTGACTTTTTCGACTGTTCCGTAGCAAGATCACCCCGGGAAAACACGCAATAACTGCCAAAAACATTACCCTCCGAGTTACTTTCGGCGATTTTCCAAGACTAGATGGATCCTCGTAGATACCTATCCCGTGTCCGATTCGTCATATCCGATATACTGGCACGCAACCGTGACAATAACTACACAGCGACAAGCTTTAGAGCCGTCTAATAAAATACACCTATAGGGTACGTTTTCATCGAAAACGATAGGTATAGACCTAATACGATCCCGTGCATAATAATGTCTCTCTCTCTCTCCCTCTACGCGCGAGATGATTAATGAACGTACACGTCATAAGCCGAGGTTCGATTTTTTTTTCCTGGAGAGCGCAATACCGATAATACTGATAAAGTTGACTTTTTCCATCGGCCTATGCTAATTTCAACGGGTGGGGAGAAGGTTGCCGAAAATCTTCCTCCGTCGGTTTTGTCACGCGCCGGCGGCGGTTGATCGAGATATTAAGCCGAAATTCAAACACTTCACATTAAATATAATCGTAACGTTTCCAAGCATTGGAATATTTATAGTTTACTGTTTTCAGGGGTAAATAAATCGATATCAATTGAAAGAGATTGTGCCAGTCGGGGGCAGTCACGTAAGAAAAGATTCAAAATTTTATTCTCACCGTGAAACTGTACATTATTTTTTACACGATTTTAATTTTAACCGTGCTTATTAATCTATCACCTCCATATGACTTATTCATATTCATAATCATTTTCATAGATCACAATAAAAATATAAAATTATTTTGTCCATGATGGCCCATAACTAGTGTTATACCCTATCACTCGATATTTTTCACAAACACCAAAAACAGAGGGCAAGGAAAGTACAATACGATATTTACTAATACGTCTGTGGTAGTGGTGCCGATAATTTTAGCTGAAATAACTCGCGAAATTACCCCTCTTCCTCCAAAAAGAAAAACACCGAAACCGAAAATCTCCCCGAATAATTGAAATAAAATTGTATAGGTTTTGTCATAGAGCAAGGATACCAGTTACCATTATCATCAGTCACAACGCGTCCGGAAAAAAAAAAGATTTTTAATTCAAAGACCGTTTATAGTTTAATAAGTGTATTATACGAACTGTATTCTTGCAGCCGCACGAAGATAGAAACGTAAAAATAATCTCGCTTCAACGCTGCTTGCTTTTAAACCGTAGACGGATAATAAATTTAATTCGTAAAATAAATTCGAACGTCGACAAAACACCGTTTGTATATATTGTATTGGTATCATTGACGCCGACAGCGTCGTCGGCACGGTTTTAATTCGAAATGTACGGGGGGAATATCATTACTATTTACCGTCTGCGCGGTAGGCTTGCGCCGATAGTGTAGTGTCGAACGATCGAAAGTTATTCGCGTTGTTTGAGACGTGTTTTAATTTCGAATTGAATATGTATACCCTGTGTTGGCTGAACACGATATTATTCCTGCACGAACGATATAATTATTGTGAAACTTCAAAAACAACTACTGCTCAAGACAATGTGGTATTTGTGAGAAAGGAAGTCGAGTCGCACGACACCGTATACTTAAATTATAATAAGAGAACGCGTCGCTCTCCCTCCCAGTTATCCCTCAGCGGTACTCGCGATCGTAATATACCTGAATAATTTAAGTCGCGACATTTAACCACCGTCGTCGTAAAATAAAACGACAATCGGTGCTCTGAAAAAAAAAAAAAAAAAAATTATAAAATTTTGATTTTAAAGATTCGTCAAAAGCGTTAGGTAACTATCAAATTAGTTTCATTTACGAGCGAAAGACAAAATAAACACCGATCTGAGTTTGTTCCCTTTTTATTCACGCGACGTACCGAGACGATTTATGAGAGCCTTATGAGGGTTTTTATCTCGATAGAGGTCCTCGACTGCTTACGCCGATAAGGATTTTATGAGTATAGTCCGTTACTTTGTCTGAGAGTAAGACAGTTTTCCCCTCCGTGGTAACAGTCAAGCGACTTTCCACGGAAGAAATAAAGCGGTTTCTCCCCTAGTTGTGACCGATCCGACAAAAAATCGAGTGTTATGTTCGATTAAGTTCCGACACGAGTGACTCCCGGACGAATCAATATTGTAATGTTTTTAAAAAGTAGGTAAACGCTGCTCGTTCGTTCTATCTGTGTACTGCACTTATTTGTGTATTACGGTATGACTTCTCGAACTACAGTAGTCGTCGGAAAAAAAAATGTGAAAAGAAACAATGGACAATTGTTCGGCACGCAAAAGCGAAAAAAACGAACGTTTAAAAAAAAAAAAGTACAAAAAAAAAAGGGGGAATTGTCCGATTCTGACGCAGTCACGAACAGTTCATATTATTTGTATACTTGATAATAACAATACTTATAAACCTTTCCGTATAATTATCGTGAATATATTTTCACTAAAACACTATGGTTTAATTATTTTCGATAAAAGCGGTCCTCTATTTCTAATTTTACGATTTATGTTTCTAAACATACATTCAGAACATCTTGCATCACCGTCGTGTCCGTCCGTCCGGACGTTTTTACGAGAACACAGTTACAGCCGTTGATATGGTTCACATGGACATGTTATTAATTTATTATCGATTTGAATACGAGGAGCAACGTCCGAAAAAAAAACAGACATCCGTTCTTCCGCGCGCTACCCACGGTATTAAGATCAACGGTATATGGGTACGTAATATTGTTAATATGACAAAATTGTTCGATTACTCTGTTCTTCTGTCCTCAACGAGAAATAATATATTTTCCATTCCGGATGAAATCAACTTAAAAAAGGTCTGCTAAAGCCTTTACCCGTCTTCCGACGGCGGGACGCCTTGGTCATCTGACCACAATATGTACGTAGTATTATAATAAGAAAAAACATCTCTACAACATTTCCTTGGATCGCTCGGTATTCTATCGTAAATTTTTACAACTCGAAAGGTGGTGACCATATAGGGCCATTTTTTTTTAGCCATTGGACCACAAGCATGGATTGGGCCGATTGAAGGTAATCCCGTTCCGGTCGTAATTTATGCGTGGTTGGCGCGCCTGCAGAGCCCTTCTTGTTTACCCATATTGGGTTAAATGTTAAACCAAAACTTTTCCCTACTACAGCCCTGGCAAGGGTGAAATCACGTGCCTACCTAATTACACTTTTATAAAATGTTCTTCCACGTTTTTTATTTCATTATTTTTTTTTTCAGGTCTCCCGGATTCACCTGACGAATTTATCGAGTTTATACTTCATTAGGTAAGTGCTTTAAAAACATTTTTTTTTAACCCTAATTAAAATCAACGGTTCGTTTTTAAAAGCTAAAAAGCTTAATATTTAAGGTTTTTTTTATGGTCTCTATCCGTGATAGTATACACCGTGATTCTTTATAATAATAATCATTATATTATTATTATTATCATGACAATGTCGTAAAGAATATACCGAAGACAATAACAGATACCTATCTGCCTACTTGAATTTTTTTACAAAAGGTATACCACGATTAAAACGAAACGATTTACGTTGTGCGTTGTACTTGTGTGCGTCACTGCTATTATAATTTTGTATAGTTAGGTACCTTTTGCAAAAAAAAAAAAAAGAATAAAATAGCATTTTCAAAAACTTATTTTTATTTTGTATATTTTATTACAGAAGGTACTTACATTTTATAGTGCTCGAAGTTCAGTTGTAGTAATTATAATTATTATCGTCAAGTATTAACCACGAATTTTGTATTCAAAATATAATATTATCATCACGGTCTCTTACGTAGATAGTTTTGAATTAATTAGTATTATTAACGTTATATTGTTTTTTCGATGAGCAGAAATATCTTTTTCGTTTGCATTACTCAGTCCGAAAATGCTCGTTGTATTGTGTACCATAATTAAATGATTAAAATATGACATAATATTACGCCGAGAATAAAATTAGACAGTTTTCGTGAAAAACGTAATAAAGCGAAAATTCGAATTTTTCTACGGACAAATTTTCTGAATAGACGTTTTTTTTATTCGTAATTTTATTTAAATTTGAATTTAATTCAATTTAATATTTAATCATGTTCATTTTAATTCACGGTTGAAAAACATGTAAAGAATGTCTCTCTACAAGTACACATAATTTATAACGATATTATATGACAGACGTACACATGATCTAATTTCACAATGATACTCTTGCCGGCCATAAAAACACCTGACAATGTATTTAAGTTTAAAGTTCAAATGTTTTAGATTCCGACTGAAGCGAAGAAGCTTATGGTTTTACAAAAATGTCTATTATTTTTGTTTTTTATCTGTGCGCAACTATTCTACCAGAAGATTTGCTCAGATTTTTAATTGTAACATCTTTTATGAAAGGAAATTGGTGTGTGAAGGTACTTCAAAGAGGTCTTTTTTCGATTTTCCCGGCAAATGTGAAATACCAAGATAAAACTTGGGGAAACCGGGAAAAACATAGGAAAACTGGGAAAAATCATCGGTACAACATTAAACAAATATTATTAAATAAAATATCTAAAGCATATTTAATTATTTACTATAAAATTATGTAGATATATGTTGATAAAGCATCACCATGAATTCCGCTCGCTTTTTCGTGACCAATGGTTTATAATCGCTTACAGTTATATATTAAATTATCCATAACAGTAACTGCACCCGTCCCAATTATCCATGGTTGTTTTTTATTTTTTAACTTTCGAATGTTTATGAACCCGATTTCGGAGTGACAAAGTGTCTGGTTAGGTGTTTTAGCTAGGAATCTGAACCCCTGACTTTTTTTCATAATGGCAAATACTTGTAAAAATGCGAAAAAACGTAGTTGGATTTATTGAATAAAAATTTTGGACACCTGCCCCTTGATTTTTTTCACTCACGATTTGATAAGAACTGATATATCTAGTCGATTTACTATCGTAACAATTAGCCATCACTGTGTTCACAATTGTATTACAATATAAATTAACATGATGTTCATACAATCAACGTTTTGAATTTTTTTTTTGTTTCTTTCCCTGCTTTATCTATACTCTTTGTTGCATTATATCGACTGGGTTTACGGTTAGTTTTACACTTTGTGTTACGAATTTCCTTGAATCCTTATCAGGTTTGGACTAACAAGTGAGTTAAGCTTTTCCATTTTCCTTTTACTTTATCTATGGCTTTGCATATACTCGGTAAAGTCGATTTTAGGTCAACACTTAGCCCACAAGCAGAGAGTATTATTCTTTGTAAAACCTCTTGAAAATTTCCTAAAACTTCTAAAACCAAATTGGTTACGTTTTGGCTTGTGTTGAACTCGGGTTTGGCTTTATTTCGCCCCCGTACGAAGATATCCGATAGTACTGTATTTGAATAAAGATAACTTGATTCTCAATAATTTTTCTGTACAATTTAAAAATCAACCAACAAATTTCAAAACATCGGTTTTTGGTTTTGCTGTTTTCTGGGCCAGTGGCGTATTTGCGATGTTATCAATGAATCAACGATTAGCAAACGAATCTAGAAAAATAGATTTTGTTTTATACAAATACATGTTGTTTTGTTATATTGTATTTGTTACATATTTTAAGTCTGTAGATATAACTCTATTTTGTTTTAGTAAAACATTTAATCTCAATTAACGTGTTATATATGTATTATTATTCTGGCAATAAGGTTTATATTTATGATATTAATAAGTTATTATAATTAAAGACAACTTAGTAGGTCATAACTTGAAAAAAAATCATCTCCTCCTTCTAAGATAAAAACCTACATACGCGACTGTTCTGGATTAACTTAGCTACGGAGCAAAGAACACGAGCAAAACTATTTTACTAATAAAATATTCCGCTCAGAATCTTGTTTTATTTCATAACGATTTATCGCTGCATACAATATGTTGTATGTTACCTTATATTTTCAATTACAGTTGGAATCTAAAACAGCTATGATCTACCCGCGAGTAGTGTCGAATTTTTTACTTTTGTGCAGCGCTCGCACAACAAATTCGAAAATAATTTGCTATCCCGTTCTTTACGTCAATGACCATCCTTAGTTTTTCCAGTATACCACCACCGAATATGTTTATATATTTGAATTTATAATTGTTATACGAATAATATCGTAGTATAATTAGTAGAGCGGCGAGTATATACCGAGATATAGTCCCTTATATCGATTGTGTAAAAAAAAAAAAAAAAAACTATTAATAAAAATCATTGTTTAAATAATATCTTAAAAATATACAAAATCCTTAAATATTCCTTAAAAATGTCAAAATATGAAAAATAACATATCGCTGTAAATATAATCGTATCTGGATCATTTGGATCTAATATTTATGTCCATAACCGAAATCTTTTATGCGGAAAAATTATTGAATAGGTTTTAAAACCTATTCGAATAGTTTTTTCACTAACCGAATAACGAAACCTATTCGAAAAATTTTACAGTCTATCGAACATTTCGAGGGCGAGCAACTATTCAATAGTTCGAACGCTGAAAAAGACAGAATACCAAGAAGATAAAATTCCTTAAATATTCGCGTCGTCTCCGTTCCGTCGCCTTATATCTAACCGTTTGACCCAAACCCTTTAATGCGTCCGCGTCGGTATATCTGTCAACCGGCGAAATTTATGACGGTTTATACCTACCATCTCGCCGTGTATCCTCCTTGAACTGCCGGATGTATACCGGAAGCGACGGTTTCTCGTATTATAGTTTCGCCGTCGTCCACCGGTGCTTCTGTCCTCGCGTAGTAGATCCGCATTATTATGCACATTTATCGTAGAATTATGTTATTAGGTAGGTTGAGTTAGGTAGATAACAATACTAATACCCGTTTAATAATATCTGTGGACGGTATGGACGATAGACATATACATCTGGATAGAACATCAATACCGAAACAAGTACGGGAGGGAAGAGAGCGCGGTCGTTCCTCGCGAACCAAGAAAGGTAGACTGATATTTTACTGAGGTGTGAGAGAGAATATTTCCGCGGGTCTCGAGGACAGCCAATCAAAACATTTCATGTATTATTTCTCATTTAAGTCGAGGAAACGCTCCGTCTGGACGTATACGATTATGATGATATCACTCGACCGATTGTTTTTTTTTCATCTCTGGGCAGCCGAGAGAAATCTCGTGACCGGAAATGCGACCAATGAAGTTCTTCGGAAACTTGTACTTCTTTTGAAATAATTAATATTTTTAGAAATATGTTAACCCGTTCGATATAAACAAAATTCGTCTCTGCCGAAAATTCTCTAAATTAAAGTGTAACCGTGTATCGATACGTAATAAGAAAAACCGAAGGTTCAAATTCACGGTTCTGGAAAATATCCGGTAAAGGTATTTCAATTAATGCGATTTATTTTACTTTACATTGTTATTTACATTTTTACAACGACCAGCCCGAATCCGTTTTCAATTAAATTTAGTTGCCCGCGCGAACAACTCTCTGCGGGTTTTTGCTTTCCCCGCTGAAACTGCAATATAGTGTACACTGTTTACTTTAATGATTAAGAATTTGAAAACCCGACTCGCCGCTATCAAACTTTGTTTTAAAGTTATACCCAATTTGAAGTTTTCCAAGATATACAACGTACACATATACATATACACATTATAATAATTATTTATTATATATACTGGATGTGAACCTATTTCACGTATAACCGTTTTGCACGTTACGCTTTCTGGTTTTGATCGCCAAACTCCTGCGGCGGACCCACCGTAAGATACGCAGGTCGAGCACCCTCCACCACCACCCCCGTCCCATGGAAAGTAATTATTATTACACTCATTGTAGTTCGGCAACACGGGTATTTGATCTGGGAGAAGCCGGAGATTATAGACGTTGCGCCCGTAAGTTGTTAAACTGTGTCGTGGTTACTGCTAAAAGTGTTCTAACTAAATGAATTTATCCTATCGATAAAAAAAAAAAAAAGATTTCTACCACGGACTATGTTCATCTTGGTTCTACTAACCAGATCTTACTAACAATTTTTTGAACAAATTTAAATTCACTAATTAATTATTGATTTAGCACATCAGGGAGGCATTAAGTTACCACAATAATACAATTGATAACGAGAAGAATACTAATTTAATAATTTCCAATGTGGACTAAAATTAGTTTTAAACGTTTTTAGCTGGGGAAATTCATTGTTTTTGACGTTTGAAGTATAAAATTCATGTTAAAAAAACACGAGTTTCCAACACTGTCAACTCAAATTTTCGTAAAATTAAAATTTCTTGTAAACTCTCACATAGTTAGTATAACGATATAAAAAAAACTTCTCCGCAAAACGACAAAGCGGATCAAACGTTCCTCGTGAAAATACTAGTTGCCTTGAGATTTTATAACATGGTAAAATATTACTTTCCGTGGAGCATAAAATCACGCAGGTACATTTGCTTTAAATCGCATGATTTTCAATAGCTTTCCTCCTCGATCATCCAGCTTAAAAAAATATTATTTTGCGGGAGAAAAGTTCATTATGGGAGCTTTATTATGACGTGCGTTTATATTTTGCATCACGCATAAGAATCTTTTTAGGACAACGAAGACGATTGAATAGATTCAGCGGTACTGCCTTCTAGACATGGATAATAATTATTTAAATACAAGATAGGTATCTCCTTTAGAGAGAAGATAGTTTTTTATTTTCTATATGTCATCAGATTAACTGAACAGATCCGGAACTTAGATTATATTTTATAATTTGCAATTACAAAAAAAAAAAAAAAAAAATAGATATACTTAGGACAATGGGTGGGCTACTGTTGTAGGTCAAAATTTGGGAAGTTAAAGGAGAAATTCAAGGTGAATCTGAACTCAAAAATTAATTATTGCTAATGATAAACGATTCTCAGGGGAGTTTGTTTATACGTGATTTAAAAGGCTGTAATATTTACGATTTAAAAATAAAATATTTCGTACATTTTCCTGTTTTCCTTACGTTTTTCCAGGTTTTTTCCATTTATTATGAAAACAACTGGGAAAAAATTATATTGTCATTCCGGTTAAATTTAATTTCAGAAAAGGCATACTATACTTGAGTAAAATATTTGGCAGAAAAATTGTTTGTAGATTAAAAATAAAAATATAATAAACAACAATATAAAACCGCTTAAAATCTAATATTGTATACCTAGTTTCTTAGTTTTCAACAAACTGAATGAAAGGGCAGATTACTATATGCCATAGGGAAAAGACGGACGGATGAACAAGTTTAGGGAGTATATAGGTATACTGCAGGTGGTCCCAGGAACTTATGATCACAGCGATATTTATTTATTATTTTTTATCTTTTGTATTAACTTTTTCGTATTTGTATTTATTTTTTTTTAAAATGTTTAAAAATAAAATAGCTTTAAAATGTTAGATTATCGTTATTTTTTCTTGTTTTTATTTTTTTTTAGGTAAGCGATGGATTCTCAAATGGAAGCTAATTAAATAAATTCAATAAACATACGAAGCGTTAGTTTAAATATATTTTGGCGCTGACATTCTTGTATTCCTCAACGGAATATTCCACGCGTAAATTTGGTTAGGGACAGAGTAATGGAGCAGCATTTGTGTGGCACCAAAGCGCGCGGCGTTTGAATAGTGCTCCGTTACAACTCTCCTCTCACACAAACGAAAAATGGAATAGCTCTTCGACGGTTGGCGGAAATCAAATATATTATCACCAAATTATATTTAAACTAACACTGTGTTTAATTATGGAATTTTTTGTATAAATTTCTATTTAAAAATCAAAAGTATATTAGGTTTATTCTCAAAAATAAGGACGAGCAAAAATAATGGTAATGTAAAATTTTAGAGCTGTAACATTATTGTTAAGTTAAAATAAAAAGAAAAAAAAAAAGCCAATAATTTCCAAGACACCGCAATGATGATCTATTCATAGGATACCCTGCATTATACCCGGGCGAATATAGTTAGATACCTTATATTATGAAACAGTCAATATAAATTTAGATAATATTATGGACAAACGAAACTAACCACTATCATAGGCCCCGTGATTCACAATTATTTTCATATATCTTATACTGAGATTTTCGAGTTATCTGAAAAAAATCGGTCGTCTACTTTACAAAAAATAAAATATAACAAAAAATAAATAAATCGGATAAATCCTAACACGGGTCGTACGTGAGAAAAGCCAACCATGTGCAGTAGTCACGTGATAAATTTATTTTCTCACGTCCTTGTTTGAAAAAAAAAAAAAAAACGTTTTCCAATATCTCGTGTGTTCAATTTATATTATTTACGGGGACAATGCGCTCTTTTGCTTTCGGATATTATAAGCAGTGCATAAATATTTTTTTCTCAAAATTCGTTATTTTCTTTTCTTCAAATATTTTTTACTTTTTGTCGTTTTGCTAGTGTTATCCCAGTAGTAGTATATTTAAACAGAAGTCTCAACACACATAATTTCTAAAAAGTTTTAAATGTTACGTTCATTATAAACTAGTCTATTGTTTTTTATTTTTTTTAACAGGATTTGGTAATTTTGTTATTTTAATTTACTCGATTCTAGCTCCGAATATTTTATACCGATAAAAAAAATATAATAAAACCTCACCCACTTGGATTTTTTGTCGACGGTTTAAAATGGTAGCCGTTGATTATTTATAATAATTTTCAAGTTAAGAGTACATTTGATTTTATATCCAATTGAACTATAAAACAAAAATCTACGAGTTTTTACATACTGATAAGATCAATAATAATCTAGATCAATAACAACAACAACCTGTACATTGCAGTTACTATTGCGGGTCACATTTATGGGGCATGTTATATTTACCAATTTTACACTACACATTAAACAAATTATAGTCACGCTTAACGCTCAACCTTTTGCTCATTTTTTTCCGGTTGTGGCACGAAATAAGTGTACGGCATGAAGGTTCGATACGTATAACCAACAATAAAGTTATTTATATTTATTATCACTGTTGGTTACTAAAAAAATGAAAACCTGTACATTTTGTGAAAAGCCAATAGAAATTCATTATTACTAATTAATAAGTAGGAAATAATTGACAAGTGCCGTACACGACTGTCCTGTATGTCCAATAAAACTAACCAAACACCGCAAAATATTGTAAGCATTTGTAGTTAGGGTATAAGTCCTACTAATACAGTTTATTATTTTACCAAAGTTACGGTAACGGATTTCAGGAGACAGACTAGATAAAACATGTTTATCAATAATTATTATTATTTTTCAAGTGTGTCTCTTCGTAGTTTTCGTGTTCTCTAGCTATTATTTCCCGTGTAATACACTTGCAAGTGTTCGTGTGAAATAAACATTTATTCCAATAAAACTGTGAACTTAAAATGATAAGTGTTGATATTATCCTTTCTTAAAGTTCAACGGAATTTTTAGTAGAAAAATGAAAAAAATACTCTAAAATGTACAGACGTCTCACGAAGACATGCCCATTGTAATATTTCCCGAGTAATAAAGATAATAAAGATTTATTTTTTTTATGTATACATTAATCACAGTTATGAGGACTACAAATATTTATATTTGAATTAAAGTTCTATGTTTTGGAAAAAGAAGAAAAAAATAAAGAGCTGAAACTACGGATGGGAGTGGTCACTGTTGTAGATGAGAAGTTGGGGAGGTAGGATACATAAGGTTATTTCATTTATACCTGTAGGCAACGATAAACCATTGCTTGATGAAAGACGAATGCGGTTCGGTAACATAATTTGAAGTGCCGTATTTTTTTTTTTTTTTTTTTGCGATTTTCGTTTAAATTTAATTTCAAAACGCTTATTTTAAAAAAAAAATCGAACGACTTTTTTTTTTTGAAAATATTACCAAGTCAGATAAGCCCAGTGAGTCCAATATAAGTGGAATTACTAAGTTTCAAGTCTCTACGTGTATTTATAGCCGAATTATAGCAAAAAAACTCTCGAAAATTAAAATTCCTTAAAAGCTCAAAAGTTTTGGCATCAATACTGTAAAAAAGTAAATTAAAAAGGTAACGAAAAAAGTATCTTGTGAAATTTCGATTAAATCATTTTTTCTGGGAGAAAACGTAGTCCGTGTTTTTATAAAATAATGAAATCGTGAAATTGTACGTTTTCCTACGTTTTATCCCACGTGATTTTATTTAAAAAATAGCGTCGGAAATCAAAAAAATTTCTTCGTTAATGTACAATCGAGACAGCCTAAGCTTTCAGTAAAGTTGCTACACGTAAAAATCAGAGCAAATTTACTAGGAAAAAACATGTCAACAGATTAGAACAAAGAAAGAAAAATAAACATCTTAGTAAAACCAATAGCTCCCTAAAATGACTGTTTATTTTATGATATTCAAAAAAATTTAATCTAACTGTATTTTATAGAGTTTATTCTTCTGAACATTTTGATGTTTAATTTTTTCATTTTCATTAGATTTGTGATTATTAATAATTTTTCAATGTTCAAAGAAATGTACACATAACTATACAACGTGCTATAATAGCATTCATTAATCGATTATTATTATTGCTATTTGACCGTACACTCTTTTTTCTCTGAACTTAAAAAAATAATTAAAACCGGAAACCTAATGAAAATAAAAATCTGATAAGACAAAATGTTCAGAGGAATAAATGTAATTAGAGCTTCAAAAAAAAAAAAAACAGAATTTGATTATCTTTATCATCTCCAGGGATATTAAAATGAGTATATACTCGTGAAACATTCTGTATATTATTTAATTTTGATTCAGTCGTGTAAAAGATGCATTCGTCTGGTCCTTTTCAAACGGAACACAATACGATTTCCCCGTGAATGCTGTTGTCCTATGTTTTTCCTTGCAGATCATGCTGTGCGGTACATTCTACGGTCATGTCGCCCGTACGGTGATTTTTGATTGGACGTGGTAAAAGTATCTAGACGGGTAAAATACGGTATGAAAAAGATTTCGTGTAAATCTGCTCAGTATTTCCAAATAAAAAAAAAAAAAATTAATTTGAAGAGAAAAATTAAATAAAAACGCCTTTAAATGCGCGCGGGAATTTCAATATTTTAACAAGTGCCTGTCCGTTCTACGGGTGTTGTCTTATGAACGTGCGAAAATCGCGAAAATATTGTGCTGTACGATATGACGTATACCGCGTTTTGACGTTTTACGATTCCCGCGTTGGCGATTTAGGGAAACCAAAAACCGAGAATGATATTATAAAGTGGCCCCGAGGGACGGCAGAGTTCCGAATCTCGTCAAATATTTGCCAAAATGGATAATACAACATCGATTCCAATGAAATTCTCCGAAGGTCTCCGAAACAACGGCAAACTCAATAATAATAAATAGAAAACGCTATACGCAATATATTATTATTCTACGAAAATGAGAGTGTTTCATTAGAATCCGAAAACAAGTCTGTCATTGTTGGCAATGGTGGTGCGATATTGCCAAGGCCATCAAAATTTTTATTATATTTTTTTTAATAACGTTGGAAATTTCATAAAAAAAAAACTAACATACATTCAATTTTATACGGTACACAGAAAAATACGAATTCGAATCATGGATACACTATACTCGCTTCGATTGCAAATGTATTCTCTATTCCTTCTTCGTTCTCGCCACTCTTACCTCGATACCACGATTTTAACGCTTTCCCCGAACCGCGTCCCCATTATTTCTTCCATTTTTCTCGTCAATAAACGTACTCTTTCCAGTTTTTGCGTCCCCTCTTATCACTTTTACATTCCGTTAATCGTTACTTCACATCGTTTTCACTTCCTGGTTTCCCTAAATAATCCGGTACTACAGTGACTATCGATTCCGTGATACTTGACTTGAGAGATTTTACCCTCTCGGGTTCAAATATCACACGTGAATATCTGACAAAATCGGTAACATGCTAAAAATAAAAAAAGGGTTTTCAGACCAAAAATATATTTCGTGTAAACCCGGAATCATGACCAAACAATATCATTTCCCGTACCTGCCTATAATAATCCACGCATAGAGTGAAGCAATGGATCTATTGGCATTATTATGCTGAATGTGTGCTTTTTTTTTTTTGTCTGTAAAGAACTTTTCGAAAATAAAACTTGCTCCAACGGATCGAATGTAACACCTCATCGGCAATATAATTGTATTTAGTTGGTGCACTGAGGATGCCGTTTTTTAATTTTACAAAGGTTTTTCAAAATAATTGGGAAAAACCGGAAACCAAATTATAGATAAATCAGCAAATATTTAAGGCACGTAGTCGCCGCGTTACCGATTTTATATTTTTTAATTTTTGCGAAATATATTTTTTACTAGAAATTATGCTTTAAGTTTTTTTTCTTGAATTTCGGATGTAGTTGCTTAAAAAGTAAATCATTTTTTTTTAATTTTCCAAGTAATTTTTATAATCAATAAGACAACTGGAAAAAGACGAAAAATAAAATGATATTTACGGCGTTATGATACCTAACTGAATTTAAAATCTGTACAGTTTATGTTTTGTACCAGAACTATAGTTCTAATAGAAAAATCCAAAAAGAAATTTTTTGTTGCATTTTTATTCTAGTTAGTGAGCAATAAAGTCACTTTTAGATTTTCTCACAGTCTTTTTTTTATAATCAAGATAAATCAAAAAACAACTCAGGAAAAGGGGGAAATTTAAAAAAAATGCTATTATTATTTTCAATTGTGTTTTTTTTTTTGTTGTTTTAACTAAATAAATATATTCGTAAAGATTTGAATTTTCAACAGGCACCTTATAATTGATATTCTATTCTAGACGTGATAAAATTTAAAATCAATTAAGTCAGTTTTGATCAATTAATAAACATTTTAATTTTGCGAGTTTTTTACGTTATTCGGTTGGTAATCTGCGGATAAAATTACTTAAACTAACAGAAATGAATAAAAACTTTTAAAAAGGTGCATTTAAGTTGTAGTTTTTAATAAAAAAAAAGTTGAATGTAGTAATGTAAGTTTTTATAGATTCTAAATGGAGCGGAGAATGTATTGGATTTACAAAGATGTTTTTTTTAATATTATTTTTTTTTTTGATGTGAACACTTTTTCTGACAGAAAGCATACTCCGTTTATAAAAAATAGAATCTTTCCTTAAGGAATTGTTCTCTGAGTGGTACTTTCAAGAGGTCATATTTTGGAATTCTCATTAATAATATTCGATATAATGCAGAAAACCTGGTTTTTTAGGTTAAAAAATATTGAAAGATTAAAAACAAGGTTGTCATTGGCAACTGCCTTTATTTATATTTTTGTTATTATTAATTTTTTATTATTTTAACTCTTTTGTTAGACAATCATTGTTGTCATGGAAACGCACAATAAATTTACCATAAAATTACAAATATATATATATATTGTTAACAAAGCAACACTATCGACTGAACTCCGCTCAGAATCGTTTTTTCGTTATCAATGGTTTATCGTTTCTTACAGTTTTTAAATTAAATAACCTTATTTATTCTACCTTCTTAACTTCCCACCTAAAATCGTGCTGCACCTGTCCGCAGTAATAGTTCCTTTTTATTCCACTCAATTTATTACAACATTCAATTATCGTTTTTCACTTCCTACCATATTTTGTTTCTACTTTATTTTCCATCCGTCCGCAGTAATAGTTCCTTTTTATTCCACTCAATTTATTACAACATTCAATTATCGTTTTTCACTTCCTACCATATTTTGTTTCTACTTTATTTTCCATCCGTCCGCCGAATCGTAGTTTTTTTTTTTTTTTTTTTTAAATATACATAATCGCATTACATTGGAAATACAAAAAAAAAAAAAAACGAATATATTATGTAATACGAATAAATTCTGTTGTGACAATTATATGGCATAACTTTTTTATTTTAAAATATTACTAAATCATATTGAAACAGGTTTGAAATAAGATATCTCTGAAGTATGTGCGTGAGGAGGAGCAAGCCCAAAAACAGTATGACCCATATCGTGAAAGACTTAGGACTTGCATATGAAACACGATTAAACAACTAGAACGAAACGCGAAAACCAAACCGAATTTTCGTACGAGTTTTGAATTAAATTAGCAATTATTTGTTTACAGATATGATTGGAATTTATCTTGAAAATAATAAACAATACATTTAGTTTAATTTCGGCGAGAAGAGATTCCCAAATCCCACTTCGTTTCGAGACGCCATGTTATAATCACTACGAAACCACAAGGATATTATATGGAATGCTGAAACAATTCAACCTCGGGGTTTTTAACAATAAGTAGACTAAGGGAAATTAAAAATGTACGTGATAAGGAGTAGTATAAATTCACGTGGAATAAAAATAATTTTCGTTTTCGGATGTAACAGTTCACGTTATTAATTAAAAAGGACCTCTAAATTAAATCGTGCGCTCTCCGACTCGGCACGTTTTTCGTTTTGATATAATTCATTTTTTTTCCTTAAAGTGTTCATAATTCGCACGAGGAGGAACGAGTACGGTGGCGGTATTTATGTTGCGTACATTTCTGGGATACGTTGCAATAATAGTATACTATTATGCGGCGGTGGCTCATACGAATTCCGAACTATTCGATTGTCGTTCGGTCTCGCAACTATAAAATTATAGCAAAATATAGCAAAAATTATAATATTATTAATTCTATAAAATTGCGCGTCGATGAAATAACACCGACCTGTCAAATTAAATATACCAAGTATACCAACGTATTGCTTTTACTGCAAACGCAACGCATTGCTGTAGTGTACGATATTTTTTTGATAATGGCTAAGAATATGGAATAGCCGGTAGCTGTTACTAAATTCTCTATAAATAAAAATAAATGTCACAGCGCCGATGAAACTTCACGTCGAAATGGCCGCGCCGAAATGTCCGGTCCCGTAACATTTGTTAGAGTATACGTATGTCGTATAGGTCGGTTAAGTGTACTCGTATGCCGTTAGAAGAAAACATAAAGGAAACAAATTGCATAACATAGAATTATACTTAAAATTAAAAAAAGGCTTGAAACTGAATTAGGCCCTTTTCTTTTTCGGGGCCAACGATATTAATGCCTAAACATTTTGCACACTACATTTTATAATATTTATACCCATAAGTATGGTATATAGTAGACGTGCAAGTTATAATAATATTTATTTTTCGCCACCGCATGAAACGCCAAGAAAATAGATACTTACAATAATAATATACACCTGCGTACTGTTCACATATCATGATATACGCTTGGCCGGGGTTTATGATAAAGCGGACCCGTGCATTCCTCTTTGCCGCGTGCATATAAAGATATTATACAAAGTCCTTAAAAAGTTACAAGTTACAAACTCTCTATGAATCTTGTTTCAAACTAATATATAATTTCCCTCGGTTTTGGAGAACGCGCGCACGTGGGTATTGAAGTTTCCACATCAAACAAAGCGAAACTTTATTGACGATGCCGACGACGACAACGGCGGTTAAACCATTAAAGTCGAACGTTAAAAAACGGGGGAGTGGATAAGGGGGAAAAAAAACGATCCAGGAATCTATTGTATCTTTTTATGATTTTACTAAACGTTAATTTGGTTATCGTATAACGATTAAATTTGTATCTATCATAAAACTAAAATACATAATTTGCGGTTGTCTAAACATAACAATTATAGACGACTAATATAATTCAGATTAAAAACATGTTATTATTAATATTCAAAATAGTATTTATATGTGTAAATGTATACTAATAGGGGGTTGTGGGACAGCACGAAAACGGACGAAACGGGAACATTGCAACGTGTATGTCTTATACTGTCTCACGCCAATTTAAAAACTGAATACAATATGGGACCCTTGGCTTTGAGATATTACTCAATAAAAATTTAATGTCTGAATGTCAATTATTTTATCATTTATGATTTGAAATTATTACAAACGTCGCTTATTAGGTGTTAATGTTAATATTTTAATCGACTGTTATTTTGTCTTTAAATGTGCATGTTATTAGTTTACTATAACTTAGGGTATAAAAAAAAAAAAAATTTTTTTCTATTCCTACAAAAACTGGTTGTAATACAAAAACACGACTGTCCAACTATACAATAAGACCTAAAAGGCAACATAAAAATTCTATGGTCATTTTTTGATTGGTGCGAGATTTCTGGTCGAAAACCTAAAATTTAAACTAATGATTTCAAATTTGTCCGGTTTAATTTTCCATTTTTTCCCGGTTTTTCGCAATTATTACAAAAACAACTCGGGTAAAAGGTGTGAAAAGAAAAACCGCCTTATTTTACATAACGAGGATAGTATATTAGTGATACTACCGGTGTTTTGTGTAACGGCGATTTGCATTAAATTCATTTGACACACACACACACAATGTTATAGATTAAAAAATACTCGAATAACAATCATTAGGCCATTTAAACTATTTAACATGCGATGGTCACTCGATTTTAAGATCGCGAGGACGAAAATATCGGTAAAACTATTTACCGAGTACGCATGTGCAGATAACTCGTTATAAATTCTATTTTATGGCACGTTATTTGAAATCGGCCAATCGGAGAAACGAGTCGCCTGCAAGATCTTAGAAACGTTCATACGCCTCCGAGGAATGTTATTCCGGGGGAATGTGGAAAAATAACGTCACTGGTAATGTGTCGTTTTTGCCAGTATAGCGGCCGCGCAGTGAACTGAAGTATACGTCTTACGGCGGTCGAAACGGGGAAAATTGAAAACCCAAAAGAAACGAAGACGCACACGTCATATTCGTAACGGTAATGATCGTATTTCTCGGTCCGTTTATTAGAGTATTTTATATAATATTATTAAAAAGGCGGAGCAATAATCGATTGCTAAGAACAATTATTGTCGAACGTGTTGACGCAAATGGAATGATCCTGTCACCCACCCCGCCCCCTCTCGCAAATTCCGAGAGAATAAAATAATTGAAATACCTAAAACGCGAGCGCGTGTACCTGCGCGGGTACGGTTTACCAAATTGTCCGCGGTAAGTGGCGAGGACACATTAATACACTCTCGTCACGTCCGATGACGCGTCAAATAAGGACGTTGAAAATTACGAATTTATATTTATATACTGTCGTACTTCGGGGAAAAAAAAAAAAATAATAATAATAATACGAGTCTAAAGGTTTCCTTTCTTTTTTTTTTTTTTTTTTTTTTTTATCTCGTTCTGATAATTTAAACAAAAATTGCGCGTTTTTTTCTATTGTTATTTGTTTAGGCGCTCCAGTTAAAATACCATACCGTTCAATCATTTATGTTGTAATATATATTTAACAATGGGATAGGAAAAAAATATAAAGTAAAATTTTTAATGCGATATACTTTTCGCGGACAGTATATTACAAAATATTATCGGTTTTTTTTTTTTTTTTTTTTCATTTTGTTAATACGCGGTTTTTCGATCAGATTAAATATACGTTTCAAATAGAGTGATGACTACCACACAAAAAAATGACGACTGAAACGGAACGCGAGTCGGCCGCCAAAGTTGGTACGGTCAAATTCGATATTAGTACGCATTAAAAATGTAAAGAAAAAAAAAAAACCTGACGACAATGGAAACCCATTACTTTATTTATTTATTTTTTAAATAAAAAAAGGACCTTGAAAAAATGATTTGAACGTTCACGACTATCGCCAAAATATATGGCTTTGATAATATTATAGACAGGTGAACGATTCAATAATTCCCAGTGATACTTTTTTCACGGTCCAGCAATTTTCTCTGAGGGTAGTAAGTGAATATTTGATTTCTGTTTTTTTTTTCTTACATTTTTTAATCATTACCGAATCGTTTCGACTTAATACTTACAATTTAATCAAATTTCCACGCCTATTCTATGTAATATCTTAAATGATTACTGATCATCATCTCATGACTTTAGATTTTCAAATAGCAACCTCTTCCTTTTTTCAACGAAGATTTAAACAGAGTTAATTTTTATCTAAACATATTGACATTATATGCATGACACTTATACCGGATACATTAGCAAATGTGAAGTGTCGTTACAGTTTAAAGTTTAAGACCGGAAGAGTAGGGTTATCATTGGAGTCCGGATTTTCACATAATCTCGTGACCGGCTATACATTTGTTTTGCAGAATATTTTATGGGTTAAAACCATTTAATATATTTAGCATGTTTTAGAATATTTTGTAAATTGTGAGAAATAAATATTAATTTGTTGTAATTTTAATTTATAATCGTTATTAACTTTATTATTTTTTTTTTAAAAATATTAAGAAATAATTACCACTATATTTTTTTATAATTAAAAAAAAAAATTTTAAAAAAATTACAATTATAAAGCATGTATTAAATATTATTGATTATTTTTGTATATCTTCATAGTGAATATTCTTACCGTCATAGGTATTTGAAGACAATATGAATTCGGGACTTTGGTTATTAATGTTTTCGTTATTCTAGTTATCTTTCAAAAACGGATAAAAAGTTTACAATCGTTTGTTCATTCATTTTTTATTTTATTAATTTAAACGGGCTAAAGCCCAATAACCGTATTAAATAAGCATCTAGTAACATGGTGCGTTTAAACAAAGAGAGAATAGTACAGATGGAGAAATTTAACATTTAACAATATTAACGAACGACAATAAAACGTAACCAGCATAGTATAAAATCTTAAAATATAATTCAATATAATTGTGCATGTAAGAATCGATAATAATCCAATTATAAAATTGTACAACTCTTCATAAACGGCATGCCCGATATTACATTATGTGTTGTGTAAACAAAAGTAATGATTTTTGAAATTTGTGTTTATGAGGAAGTAGAGTCACTATTTCAAAGTGAATACGCGTCCAAGGTATGTAGAGTAAACGTAATTATTTCAAAATAGTGTTGGAATAAATCCCATACCAGACACCGGATTCACTTAACTTGACAATGACGGCGTACCGTCTTTTCGAGAAGGCAGTTTTTTATGTTTTTAAAAATATATTTTTGAAACTACTCAACTGTTTTTCGTCTCCGTTTTTCTTCCCGTCAACCGTTTTGGAGTGTGTTGTGCGTCGATAAGATTTCCACAAGAAATCTAAACCCATCAAAAAACGAAAAGCTAACATTTTCACAAAATACACAAGCTTTTCTTGATATTGTACAATATTTTTTTGAGCTAATTTTACGAATTTTATAATTGCGGGTTTTTTTTTTTTTTTAGTAGTTGTTGTTATTGGTAAGTATTGTTATCTAGATAAAATGTTTTGACCGAACAGAAATGCTCGAGCATTTAGTAGCACTTTCGTCATCAATTTTAAATGTAGAGTGTAATGTATAGTGGTTTTTTTTTTACATGAGAATTTTTATTCCAAACGTCGACGAAAATCGTAAACATACCGTAGTATTTCAAAACACGTGCAACCGAACTTCGCTACGAATCGTTTTGCCTTAACAATATGGTTTATCGTTGTTTACGGGATGCATAAATTAAATAAATGCGTGTCTTCTACTTTTCCGATTTTCCACTTACAACAGAGGCGCGCACGTTCCCAGAATCAGATTGGTTTTTTATTCTTATTACATTCGAAATAATACGCAGTTAAACTGATTTTATACGTGTATACATAACCGTAATATAATCGGTTGCATGACCGAGTAGACCGGCGCCGGTTATTTGCTCGGAAAAAATTCAAATTGCATTATACTGTTTTTATGCTCATTGTTTATCGTCTGATGCATTGAACACTGATTTGAACACGTTTCGACACAATCATAATGACCGGTCTGTACATTGAATGATATGTTCATCTGGAAATTTGTGATATAAATATGTCCGCGTTGGGTCCCTTGTTTTTGTCGGCACGACATTCGTTTTCAAAGTGTTGAGTTCAATCGCGGCGTTTCAGTATTCACCTAACGTAAATAATGCTCTGATCGACAATTATCATTTTGGTCGATTCGATCAAAAAGGCGCACTGATAACACACCGCCGGACCGTGGTAAAATAATAACACTGTATTACGTTGAAAATCAGTTTTCTCGTTCCGACCCGGACCAACGCCATTCCGAAAGTTTAAATGGATCGAAAACATCTCCGAAAACAAAACGTTCCGTTCGAAATCGGAAATATGTTATTGATTTGCGCCGACGCTTTTAACTTAAACACGATTAGACATTATATGATATGGCATTATATATTATACATTTTTTTACGGAGAAAAAACTACAAAAAAAAAGAAATATAGACGATATGTATTCTTTATTATTCTCTTGGCTGCCGTTTTATATTAATTTTTTTTTTTTTATTATGAAGATCGCTATTCGTTTATTATTCCGAGTTTAGAACAAACACGTGCGAGTAACATGTTTTTTGCCCACTGTATGTGTTCTAAAATCTATACAAAGATTCGCATACCCGCTTATGAAGTTGAACCGACGCGTTCGCGTTGAATAATTATACGTTCGGTATCTTGTAATCATTTTTTTTTTTTTTTTTGCACTACAACGATCTTTTTCCGCCATCAAAAGAATATGTTATTTCGTCTGAGCGCCACGCAAGAGTCTATATAATATACTTTATTAGATATAGACTTTATTAACTATGTACGATTGAGAGACGATCAATACTTGTAGACACGACGAAATTTGTTTTAAAACTAAAAAAATTGCTATTCGTAACATCATTGCGTATTAAGTTAAAACAGTTCCAACATCAAAACGAATTGTCCGATATTAGTCGTCCGAAAAAAAGGATAAGACGCCCGGTGGTACATCATATTTTATTTTTTTTTTCTATTGGTCACGCTGTAAACACAGGTGAGGGGAAACGATATAATAACGTATTTTTGTTGTATTCAACAACAGATTTTGAAAAGTTCGAAGATTAACCACGAATAAAAATATTGCTTGGGCGTTCTGGAATCCGGAGCCTAGACCATAAAATTATGAATAAATACACTGTGTTTTTCTCGCCCCCCGAGCTATGATGTTCGTGGACAATATTTAGTGCGAGAGTCAGTGACAATTAAGGTTGTGCGTGGATGAACAGTTTGTTTTTGTTTGTTTACACAATGAAAATGAATGCGCATGATCACATCGAGCTGGTGGATAGAAAAGTAGCACGATTTGACTTTAAATCTTATTGATAAGTATTGACGATTGCACTGTGCAAATAAAAATATTTAATTATTTCTTCCGTGATTGCCATCAACTAACACTAACGCTCTCACTTAATATCATCGGTTTCCCGTTTTCCTCCCGAAGCGCAGTCCATTTATTAATAAGCTACAACCAATGGTCAAAAAAAAAAAAAATCAGAATGCGTGATAATAGTTTGCAATAATATTATGCGGCGGATGAATTCGAATAAAATGCACGGCTTACATTACTTCGGTTTTACCGGTCAACAGTGCACGCGCTAACTTAACGCTAATGATAAGGCGTGGTTTTTAGCGATGCGACTCTCAGTAAACAGTTCGCTGCGTTATTTGCCGTCGTTTGCTATTCGGCCGGTCACTCGCCAAAACGTTTTGTCCACTTTCGTTGTAGAAAACGGATAGTGAACGTAGTTTTCAACTGATTCCGGCAATCAGGTAGTGGAAAAGTAAATTCAGCCATCAAACAATATTACTGTAAACTACATCATAGACCCAATCACACGAGAGTGTTCTTAGAGAAAGTTCGAAAAAAAAGCTCGAGGACATTTTTAACTCGAAGGGGTCTGAATAGCCTGGGGCTATTGAACGGATGAAAAGTCTGGATATTACGTTATAACTTGCTCATGCTGTTTACACTGTCGCTAAATATATTTCATCTTACCGCTTGTCACACTATTACTGTTACCGTTTCTGTTTTGCTACCAGCTTATTACTATACATAAATGATGTGTATACCGTTACATTTCCCGTGCCGTACGAATAAATAAAACGCCGTAAACCGTGTCACCAATACGGTGTGGCCATTACACTCAGTAATCAGCCGGTTGATCAAAACCGAATCGCCAATACACGCCTATTATTATTAATATTGAGTATCGTTTATTTTTCCTTATCGCCCGAACTCGGCACTTTCATTGTGTTACGCTGGTATCACTCACTATAAATACCCATCTAGTCGAAAAATAATCGCGTATAATAACACATTTCAATATCCAAATAATAACAAATGTATTATTATCATCGATTATTTCGAACGAAAATATGACGTAAACGGCACGTTTCGATGCCATGGTAACGAGTTTGTTTTTTTTTTTTTTTTTTTCAATCTCTCGGTTTCCAATCGAACCGGACGAACTAATAATAAATATAAAAGCACACATACATGGGTTACATGTATAGACGTGATAGTATAATTTTATAATGCAACCGACTCCGCAAACGTCCGTCCGCAGATTATCGTAAAATAATAATAACCGAGACCGGTCCGTGATCAAACTCACGATCGTATTTTACATTATTTAACTACCCGTTGTATTTTAAACGAACAATAACAATACAATTATTTGATACATTTTTTTTTTTTTATTTTTTCGATTCGGAAATCGGGAACTATAATTGGATCCGATACATCCTATAGATAACAATAATTGTACCCCTATTATTGCGTATAGCTCAGTCAATGTTACCGCGGCGGTCGTTATAACGATCCGATTTTTATTTTATTTTTTTTTTTTTCTCATGCTTTCCGAGATTGATATACGTCTGAAACAGAACGCCCGGTTTTAATTACAATATTATCGCAGTTGTAGTCACTCCTTCGTCTTTGAACTCGGTTGTTTTATTATTATTTTATTTTATTTTTTTTTTTTTTTCCTAACGAACCAAACCATACTAATATTTGAACTTGTTAAAAAAAAAAAAAAAAAAAAAACGGTTATACGTATTTTAAAAATTTAATTTGACAATAATTATTATTATTTTTAAATGTATATATACGTGTGTGTGTGTGTGTGTGTGTGTGTGTTTTTGTGTGTTTTACAATCAAAAATTTGTTCGAGAAACTATGAACATTGTATCTTTAAGACAAATAACCGCGACGATGACGTCGATAACGGCGTAATTATGAATTCAATTCGATAGGTACTCACGAAAAACAAATATATATATATACAGATACTTGTCTGTCCTTATATAATAATTAGAATGATAAACAATATTGTTTAACATAATTTGAACTTGCTACATTCATATGTATATATAAATGTAAATCGCACATAATAGCGCGTATTAAATTACCGAAACCATTTATCAACTTCAACTTATGGTAGCATATTATTTTTCCCGGGCACATAATATTTTTTCCGCTACTAAAAAATATCGATTAAATATTAAACTTCTTTTATTAACTCATTTTTTTTTCCCCGAAACATTATTAAAATACACTATTTGAAAAAAAAAAAAATAAATAAAAAAAGGTTACATTATAAGCCACGGCAACTGACGATGGAAATAATCCCATTGCTTTCACGATACTAAAATAAAAATAATTATAATAATAATAATAATAATAATAAAATTAAAATATGAATTTGTAGCAAATAAACGAAATAATCTTTACGAGTATAGTTATATACGCACGGAAACTGTGTTGATGAACTTTAAAATAATCTAAATTACTTTTTAAACACGATTGAGCGACTACGGTTTTTTTTTTTTTTTGTTTTTATATAATTAATATTATAGACAATTCTATAAGTAATTTGAAAATATTCATAAAATATGGATAATTGTATCCGGAGAAGGGAAGTGCTCAATCGAGAGATAAAGCTAGAAAACATTTTGAAATGTCGTGTTTGTCCGATAAGGGGTTCGAGATTTCGTGGTGTGAAAAGTGTTGGGAGGATAGTCTAAAAGATAATCAATCTACAGTATCGATCGACCACTTGAATAATAAAGTTATACAGATAGCACTACTATTTCTTATGCGTTTTTACCTAGATAAAACCAAAATATTTTCGAATCTACTTAATCATTTTTAGTAAATGTGTAAACAATAGATACTGTATTTTATTCATTTTTTAATCATGCAATAATATTAATAATTTAAAAGAATATGTGTATATTCTGTTTAATACCTTTGGTAAAAATTTGTTTTCACATTTAAAAAAAATAATTGACACGCTACTAGTAAACCTATATTATTGTTATACTGCATAATACTTATTAATACATTTTGAATCTGTATTACAGTTAATGACTAATACGACCTTCTTAAAATAACATTTTTTATTATAATCTTAGTATATTATCTAAACAACCGAAAATTATCTTTACTAGTACCTAATTATGTTTTATCTAGATAACAATTTTGGACACAGACACGATAAATTAGTCGGATTTCAGAAATAAACAAAATATATACCTACCAAAGTCGAGTTCACGTGGACCGAGCCGGTCGTAATCGCTCCAAAACGCCCGAGTAATCTTGTCCAGCGCACATGGCTCCGCGTGAACTACGATTTTTATATTTTACAAATAAAACGGCGATCAAATATTTCGGAAAATATGATTTACTGTTGCCACCGGATAGCCGACTTTCAATCGTCATAGAGTAAACGGTTCGTTCGTCATTAATTACGATTGACGGTAGATTATGTTTAATGGTATTTTCGTTTATATTCGACTTTTCGTCGATTTCCCGCCATAACGTGTTGGTAGCCCCGCCGTAGACTCGGCGTGAACGTAATATTATTATCATTACGGTGTACAACGTTTTGAGAACTGCATTGTTTGCGGATACGATTGTACGACGACTGAATAGGTTCGAGCGATATCGTTATGTTACATATATTTGTTTATTTATTTATTTCCCCCCCCCACCCCCGTAAAGCTAATATTGACAGAAATCGACAGAAAATGCCCGTGTCGAAACTCTCGGTATACGCACGCGCGCCCGAAAAATACGCACGGCGTAATGCGGAACGTCGCGGCCGTGATGGGAAAACAAAAACCGAAAACGACGGAACGACGAAACAACGAAACCCAGTGCGGCGAATACCGAAAACGGTTGGCGTAACTGTTTGCTTGGCTCGTCGGTCATTCCGCCGTCGCGTCGCGTAAATGTCACGCGCCCGCGGGCCGCTACGCGCGGTACCGCGTGCCGGCCCGGCGCGGCGGGCCCGCGAAAACCACGGCACGGCGCCCGTAACGCGGTTTTTCCGCGCCGCGCGGACCCGGCGCGCCGGCCGCGTCCCGATCCGAGCGGAAACGGTAATGCGCCGGCGGGCCCGGGGCTCGACACGTGTGCGCGGGCGTGCCGAAACCGCGCGCCTGGTCGTCGGTTTCGGCCGTCGCCGGAATCCCGGCGGCACCGGCGAAACACCGGACGGCGGCCGCTACGAACGACGGGTTTGCCGGGGGGCACGGCGCTTGCACGCGTAACGAGACCGCGCCGCGGTCGAACGCGAGCGGTTTCGCGTCGCTCTGTTCGCCGATTAGTCGGACACTCGCGTCGTTCCGCGAGGTCTTTCGTCGGACTCGACGTAATATTTCGGCGCGGAGACATTGGTCGTCCGTCGAATACTCGGCGTCGGCGTTCGATTCGCGTCGGCGTTTCCCCCGAGTCCGCGTCGTTGCGCCGGGGGCCCGCCACGCAATACAGCGGCCGTCGCCAACACGGCGCGACAAAACTATAACATATCGTTTTCGTTATTCCGGTCGGTTGGCTGCGGATCTCCTCGATTCCGTTTCGTAACTCGGTTTCATCAAATCCTCGGTAACTGTCCGCGACCGGGACAGTCGCGACGATTTCGGCAGAAATTCCCGTCAAATAACCCATGGCCCGCCGTTACTCCCGTCGCCGCCTGGTCACGGAGGTAAAAATAATTCGCAGTTCCCCCCGCGGCGTTACGTGCACGGGTGTGCGCGCACCCGCATAATCGCAGGTACACAAAAAGAAAAGGAAATAAATCGATTCCGAAGCCTTTGAACGGCTAGCGGCGTGCGGGCGCGACGTCGACGGCAACGAGCATCACCAAACGTTTTCGCACGCCAAACATCTCGCACCGCCGTTCGATATTCGATTGGCTCAAATCTTTCGCGTTATTACATTTCGCGAACGTTTTCCACCGAAATATATATCATATAGGTCACTAAACATAACAGCATACCTTATATCTGAACATTCGCACCGACGGTCCGGGAAGTCCCGGCTCTCATAAGAGGACGTGAACACAGCTAGTGGTTTAAGAATACAACGACTACGAGTGTTTATCCAGCAGTTCAATCTTTAAACGTATACAGGTACTTCGGCCGGGACACAATGGACGTTATTGATTTACGAATTGACTTTTCCGGATCCGGCATTTCGATTCCGTTTTCGGGTTATCGCACGTACACGGTTCTAAGATTTGTTCGTGATTATTATTTACAACATCCTGTCCCGTTGAAATGTCCCGGGCGCGCCTTTGTGTTCACGAAAACGACAGGCAAAAAGCATCGGTTCGAACGATTTACGGAGATAAAATAGTAAAAAAAAAAATAGGTCATAATGACGTACGTAAAAATATTTACGATGTCATTTCGTCGGGGACCGCGTCGCACAGCACGCATTTTCGCGAAACAAGATAAAATATAATGACACAGCGATTCAAACAAATTGTATTTTAGGAATTTCAACGCTATTTCGTTATGTATATTTTTTTTTTTTTTTAGTACAAACTAAAATTGCTATTACCTACAAGTGCACAGCGAACAAGTACTAATTACGTTTTTTTTCGAAAATCCAAGTTCAGCTTTACCCTGAACTTTGGTAAACGACAATAAAATTTGTTCGGAATTTGATAATAATAACAATTATTACCGGTATCATTACTCGATCATGAAAATTGAAGAAAAATCACCTTAACTCCCCTGCTTTCCGAAAACAGTTCGCCGAGTTTCCGTTCTTTCGATTTATTACATGATCGCCAACACACGAAAAACACACTTAACAAAAATGCCGATTACATCAAAACGAAGAATGTAATAGAGGATCTCCAAAAACAGATGCGCTCGGGAGTCGTTACGGAAGTCAATGATAGCAATCCAACTGCTTTAAGGCGCTCCGGTGGCACGCAATCTGCACACTCTGGGAAGTCTTTGAACAAATCTCCTCGTTGGTCAATGTCATAGGTCCCGACGAAGAACGATCAAAAGTCGTTTTGTTTTTAAATTTCGTCCAGCGTATTCGGAATTATCGGTTTCGCGCGGAATTCGTATCTTTTTCGAAAATATTACGCTTGGTACGCGTTTCACGGTAGACACATCGGGTGTTAAGTTTGTCACGTTACCCCGGTCACGCTCGTTTTCAAGAAAAGTATACACGCGTAATGTATTATATTATTTTTATTATTTATGTTTTTTTTTTTTTTTTTTCTGAACGTTTTTTTAACGATAACCGCAATATTTACGATCGCATTCGTACGCACGCATAACAACACCAATATATTTTAATGCGATTCGGACGTAATACTTTTGATACGGTACTACGACTCGTCGGAATATTATAAATTATTAAAACACGGGCCGCCGGCGGCGGCGGCGGTCGATAACACACCTGCGGCATTTACGCCGCCGCCGAGCCCGTGATAATAATAATATTATTATCGCGATAAACGGTACGGTTTTCGGCGAGTTAAAATTTCCGCCCGGGCCGCGGGGAATGGTTAGGTTATTAGACACCCGCCCGGCGTTACGCGCGGCGCACCGGCCGCGTGTTATTAACGGAATGTTTCGCGCGCGGCCGACGACAACGGACGCCGGCAAACCTTACACGAACCAACCAGAGCGGGGCGATTATCACGGCGGGGACGCGCGGAACAGGCGGGCGTATCGGGCCGGGTTATCGGCGACGCGTATGCGCGCACGGGTCCGATATTCGGCCACCCCCCAC